TGTCCAACCCCTTAGCCACCCACCCATGAACATCTCAATTCCAAATTAATTTATGTTCTCTCAGTTTTCCTATGTAATAAATAGTTGATTCATGGGCTCAAACACTGAATCTAAAGTCCTAATTGATAATTATATTCTTTATTCTTTATTTTTAGTTTTGGGCATATGGATATGTGGGTAAATGCATTTTTTGAGAAAAATTTTAGTTTTTATGTTTTCAGGTGTTTACCNCTGGGCTTGTTTGTGGTCTGTGTTTTGATACCACTTATAGCAAAGAACCTTGTATTTGCTGGTTTATGTACATCACATTTCATGTTGAAGGGACTATGGAGTGACGCCAGTAAGAACAAGGCAATTGCTTCTAATCAAAAAGCTAAAAGAGAACCATAGTGCTATTCTCATTTCTAGCTTAATCACTAAATTAAACAAGATAGAGGTCCCCTTTGGATTATTTTAGTGACGATCGATGTAGTTTCTGTAGGCAAATAATCAGTGTACTTCTATTTATAGGAAACAAATATGATGTGATTTTTAAGATTCCAGGTGCTATCGACCTTCACAAGCAGCAGAGGAAGAAGCCTAAGAAGTCTCTTCCCCACGTGTGTACATGGAATGAGACTTCAAAATTGTACCCGTTTAATGACTTGGTGAAAATTGTACCATTTATATCTATGTAGTTTATGTGCATAGATATAAATGGTGGGCATACATATAAATGTAGATGGTGAACCCTGAGATCTTTGACTGCAGTCACCAAAAATGGACATAAGTCATCTATAATTGTTCTTTTTGATGTATGTGGGTAGAAGGGTACCTTTGCATTTTCAAACAGATCTCTGTGGGTCTGCTAATTGGTCAAATTGGTTCTGATACTAATGCATTTAGCCCTATTCTGCAATGAACATAACAATTATTAATTTACCAGAAAATTCAAACACATATATTTGAAGGATAGTGGAAAAATATTAAAATTAGATTCAATTCCTCCTTATGTTGGTTGTTCATCTTGGTGTCTCTNTTTTATTATGGATATAAATTATTGTGCGGGGATTCAACTTTTGTTGGCTATTTTGATTTTTTTTGCTTGAGTTCAATTTTAATAATTTAAGTTATAGTTTGTGGACCTTTATTTTCTCTATCTTTATAGGATTTTTTTTTTTTGGCCTTTGTTCTCCATTCATTNTTAGGGTGTGGTTATGAAACTAAAAAAAAATTATATACAGGTTTAAATGTTTACAAAACTATTATTAGAGGGAATTTTTTAAATTTTTTTTANTAGGATTTTTTTTTTTTGGCCTTTGTTCTCCATTCATTTTGGTATGTCTTCACTGAATTGACTTTGATTGATATGAAGGTCTTCATTGATGTAGTGTTGTTGATGGCTCCATATGTGCAACACTATTGCATACATTGTAATGTCAATTCATTACATTGTACATTGTAACCGTTGCTTAGTTTCATTAGTGCACCATTCAATTGAATNTGGTCTTTGATTTCATTAAATTCAACATCTATGTTAAAATAGTTCGTACATTCAAAAAATTCAACCATTTGAATGTGCTCAAACATACAGAGAAACATATTTTAGGGGTAAAAGCATTTTGAAGGCAAGTAGAATTTTTTTTGGTACTTCAGTTTGATGATTTATGTCTCCGTTTCTTTTAGGTTTGGATTTTGTTGCACTTTAAGCTACTTCAAGGCGGTGGTTATGCTTATTGTCATTAATCTGTTGTACCAGACAAAGATACTCAGTTTTTTCTGTTAACTTTTGGTGCTTCTGGACCTTTGAAAGTACTTTTAGCTTTATCTGCTTGGAGTTGCCTGCTTATGTACCTGTCCAACCCCTTAGTCACCCACCTAATAACATCTCAATTCCAAATTAATTTTTGTTCTCTCAGTTTTCCTATGTAATAAATAGTTGATTCATGGGCTCAAACACTGAATCTAAAGTCCTAATTGATAATTATATTCTTTATTCTTTATTTTTAGTTTTGGGCATATGGATATGTGGGTGAATGCATTTTTTGAGAAAAATTTTAGTTTTTATGTTTTCAGGTGTTTACCCAAATCTACAGGTATGCAAGGTATTTGATGGTTTGATTGTAGCCCTTATAATGTTTCTATGCAATGGAATTTTTTTTTTCAATTGGAGGGATTGTTTTTTGTATTGTTTGTTGTTGCAATAGGGGCATAGTAAATGATTGATAAGCAGAACATCACTAGGTATTATTTGACTGTAAATGCTAATAGAATGCACTGTTTGTTATTTTTTAGTGGATGTTCAAGGTTTTATTATGGATATAAATTATTGTGCGGGGATTCAACTTTTGTTGGCTATTTTGATTTTTTTTGCTTGAGTTCAATTTTAATAATTTAAGTTATAGTTTGTGGACCTTTATTTTCTCTATCTTTATAGGATTTTTTTTTTTTGGCCTTTGTTCTCCATTCATTTTGGTATGTCTTCACTGAATTGACTTTGATTGATATGAAGGTCTTCATTGATGTAGTGTTGTTGATGGCTCCATATGTGCAACACTATTGCATACATTGTAATGTCAATTCATTACATTGTACATTGTAACCGTTGCTTAGTTTCATTAGTGCACCATTCAATTGAATGAATTCATAAGTCTTTGTTACATCTACTATGTTTTAAATTTGGTTGCTTTGGTTATTTGCGTACATCCTACCTTTTAGATTTGTAGGCACCGTTATGGTCTTTTTGATTACGCCTACAATTCAAATCTGTATATATGCTAATGTCATTGGTTAAATCTATATATTATGCTTATACTCAAGGATCCCGAGAGTCAGGTACACCAGGAAAGTGAATTTTGTTATAATTTCAATAGTTTCAAACTTTCATGCTTTACTGGTTCTTTGTTTNACCTTTGAAAGTACTTTTAGCTTTATCTGCTTGGAGTTGCCTGCTTATGTACCTGTCCAACCCCTTAGTCACCCACCTAATAACATCTCAATTCCAAATTAATTTTTATNGTGTTCCATTTTTCTGATTTGTTATGGGTTGTTATTTTGATCCTTGACCCAGGGCTTTTTGGATGATTGAATCTACGACTGCGGCGATATTTATCTTTCTTCAATTATCTCTAATCTCAATTGGGTGTTTGCAAGTTTTAGTGCTTTCATACCTATTGTTTAAAATCCGTAATTTTTTTTCTCTGGCCAAATGTTTGTGGTGTTATTACAGGAAATTAATTTTTGTTTGTTTGCATTGCTTCATAGTGTTAGTCAACATAGTGATTTACCTTTTTGATATGTGTTAATTATGTATATCCAATCCTTCTATCAAGTTGTTAGGACTTCAAAATAAAATAAAGTTATGATTCTTAGGTATTATGTGGATTGAATTATTGAATTGCTTACTATTCTAATAAACAAACCCTGACAGGAAGAGCGGGGTTATCTTAAAGAGATTCACTCACCAGTTGTTTGGAAACATATTTGATCTAAGGCTTATTGGGAGGATGAGACAACTTTTTTTTTAAAGAAACTAGGTTTGAGCACATTTTTTATTTATTAAACCTCGAAATTACAACAAGCAAAGACAAAAACTGTTTTAACAAAAAAACAATCCCTATTTGAACAGAAAACAAAAAAACCAAAAATAACTGATATAGAATTCTCTTGCTAAGTCAGACAAAAAACGTTTGATTGTTCCTGTTCACATGCTGCTTTTTCAAATCCAGCTGGTGAACATCTGCTACAGCATCAGATTGCACCCTGAAGTTGAAAAGGCCATGTCCAGTTGCCCAGCTGCCAAACAGCTCCTTAGCCTCCTAACACCACCTTACCAGATAGAATGCCCTACTCCTTTTTACAATCTGCAACACCATCATTTCAAACCTTTGCCCCTGGACCTTTAGAACCTTACACCACTTTCCAAATCATGCACTCAATCCTGCTGACCACCACAGATCAACATAACCAAGCCACAATCCATTTTGACAACACTTCCAAATCAGCAGCACACTGCTCAACACAGAATTCAACATAACAGACAAATGAGCATCATGCTTGTATCTCTGCTTTGCAAATAGCCGGCTTTAATCCTTCAAAGGATCTAAAGCTATATTACTATACCAGCTGTCCAACATTCAAAATGCATAAAAAAACCATGCCTCACCAACCCTTTTGCTGAATAAAAACAACTCCAGTGCACCCTTTATACATTCTAAAAATCCTCACTCAACACCTGATGCAGCAGCAGATTGCTATCGAGGATCTACATCAACCTGACCCTCACATACTACCCTCCTCCCCCTAGCAGTAGGAATCCTGATTTGATCCTGATGCAGAATCAACCTTCCATCCAGTGGCAAAATACCATTGACTAAAAAGTAAGTAAAGCACCCAGTTCTAACATCATAAGAAGCCAGAAAGTCAGCAACAACATTAGCTTCCCTGAATACAATGACTCATCTGATACTGCCTTCCCTTAAGCAAACTCCATGTCTCCTCAAGTATCCTCTGAAGCCTCCAAGGAACCTCTGTCTTCCCTGTCACCATGTGAACTAACACATGTGAATCAGATTCAAATAGAAACTGAGAATTCCCCAAGCCATACTGCATAATCAGTTTCAGGCTATCAAGAAAAGCCAGACATTCAGCTCTCATGTTAGACCCTAACCTATAAAATGCAGCAGCTGAATCTCTTTATAGTTGTTGCTCCTGAATCAAGGATCTTAGTTTTGTTTGTGCTTCAATGGATGGTTTTGGATTGCATCATTTGTGGCATTTGTTTATCGTTTAGTTTTAAAAATATCGATTTTGATTTTATTTATTATTTATGCAATTTTTTTATTTGCAATGCCTAATTTGTATTCTAGGTGTGCAATGCGACTATCACTTAGTTTGTTAAATGGTGGTTGTTGATTGAGTCTGTTATAGGTAGTGTCATTGAATTTCTCTTATGTATGTTATAGAGGATGTTCTAGCAGCTCATACCAGCTAATAGATATTTTAATTTATTAAAATAAATTCTAATTTACGTGAATTTAACGCGTTTCGAGATGTGTGACATCTTCATGAGAAAAAACACTTGAAACAAAACTAGAAATTATCAACATTTTTTTGAATTGAATGGGTTGACATTGCGAGACATTAAAAAGTAACAGTTTGTTTTAAATAAAAAGGGAGCAATAGGTTGTTAAAAGCCTAAAAGTTGCGCCACAGCAGCCAAGATGAAAGTGGATGAAAGGCAATAGAAGTAATATCAAAAGCATGGTAAACCTTTTCTTAGACTTTCGTTTCAATTGACTTGCAGTCAAGTAGAAAGACTCAGTAGTATGGTTCATTGTTTTCATTTCTTGGTACTTTTAACTGCATATTCGATGTAGAAAGACTCGGTGATTCTTAGCTTATTTTATTCCTCTCATTATTGTAACTTTTTGTGAGAAACTAATCCTTGGGCCGAACATTGATAAACATAACCCTTATTTCTTTTAGCTTTTTGAATCACAATGAAGGTTTTTTGGTATCGGTAATAAGGAAAATTGAGTTTGATTATTGTGCATTGGTTATTTGGTTTAGTATTGTTTGGAGCCCATCAAGGAACAATGGTCTCGATATAGTCATTAGTTCCCGTATCTCTTATAATGATTTCTATTAGGTCAACTCTATTTTAACTGTCACTATATAATAGTACTATTTAAGCGTGCATGCAATTAATTGAGATTGTTATCTTAAACAAATTTTTGCTTGAATGTAGTTGGCAAGAGTTGTTGCTTACTGGAAGACCCAAAGTCCATTCCACCCACGGAGAGAGGTTAGTGATGTTTGCTTCTCTCACTTTCATTGGNCAAAGTCCATTCCACCCAAGGAGAAAGGTTAGTGATGTTTGCTTCTCGCACTTTCATCAGGTTGAATTTTTTTTTTTAATTTTTGAGCACATTCAAAATCGTTTATCAAGTTCAAAATGAATGTTGAAGGGAACTATTATGGGTTTTACAATTTGTTATTTTATTGCTAAGGTATGTCGGAATCCTTAATTGTAAACAATTATTTGACCCTTGACATTAATTCTATACTCTGTGACATTAATAGTAACCTTTGAAATTGTTATTTTTACTCTACTTCTGTTGAGGTGAGCCTCATTGTCCTTTTGTACTCTTCTCTAATCTTCATTTGTTGGATATCTTTAGTGTCTATTTTTTGTTGGTCTTGATTTGACTGCAATTAAATTTTTAGTGGTTTAAATGTCCATTACCACTACATTGTTGGTACCTAATTTTTTGAGGCATATTTAAACTCTCATTGTACTTCAAACTCATGTCTCTATCTTCTTACTCTTTTATTTTTTTAATTTTATTTGCAAGGGAAATATCAATAGAGATTTCTAAAGTTGGAACATGGAAAATACCCGTCCTATAGGTGCATCAATTGAAATTGCAAGTAATTAACTGTGTTGTTTGATGTCAAATAAGTTATAGGTGCTTATCAATGTACGATGTTGGTCTCACTGTTTCTATTTCTCTCCGCTNTTGAAATTGCAGGTAATTAACTATGTTGTTTGATGTCAAATAAGTTATAGGTGCTTATTAATGTACGGTGTTGGTCTCACTGTTTCTATCTCTCTCCGTTGCTCAACACACACAGAGGACACATCGAAGGTGTTCGACATAGAGCCCAGGATAACAAAATCCACCGTCATGCACTCCTTCTAGAGTTATATTTCTACTGCTCTCTAAAAGAAATTCCACACTTGTGATAAAAAAATCGACTACTTGGATTTGAGTTTTTTATTCTGGCGTTTCCAAAGTTTTTTTGTTTAAATCTGGAATTTTTTTGGATGTATTGCGAATGAGTTCTTTTGTCAACGATCACCATGACCCAAAAAAATAGATGCTTCGGTGGTATCTAACATGTCAAACAAACTTTGCCATCAACTTGGAGACATAACTCTTGCGCATCCCTACACACACTGAGATTTTTTATGCTTGAACATAACCCATGCTGAAATTTTTGAGAGAACTTCATGGTATCTAATGTGTTCAATTTGTATAATTCATGGTGTCTTCTATTTTTCTAATTTACCAGATCTACTACCATTTCTCTTACTCATTGCGTTGTATGCATTCAATTTGTCAAATTCATCATGTTTGTTACTATATTTTCTTAATTCATGGTGCCTACTACTATTTGCTATCGCGTTCAAATTTGCTTTCAATTTTGCAGGTTGTCTTTGATTGACCCACTCATGTCCTCATCAAATTCGTCGGTAGTTTTTTGGTGATTTTCTCTTATAACTAAGTATGTTTGTATCGAAACTAAATTATAACTTTGAGTCAAATTATGTTTCGGGTATTTTAGGAGGGCCCTTTCAATTTGAGATTAAATTCTTAAGTAGTATTAACACGAATTTGAGTGTACTTCAATTGAATTTTTATGATTAGTCTGACTCAACTATTTTTAAGGTTTGTTTTTCGTTGAAATTAAACAGTGTGTTTGAAACCAATTATGTTTAGGAGATTATGTTTAAATGTTATAATTAGTTTTATGATGCTGGTGTTTTAAAATGGGGATGACACTTTAAGTTGTGGTGTTTATTTCGGTGGTTGGTCTCGGTTGTGGTGTTTTATTATTAGGATATAATTGCCACTAGAATGTCTTTTTGTTGTTCTTAGGGGTCAATTTTGTTGGATGGTATAAATTGTGGCAAAAAAAATAACCAATAAAAGGTTCAATTTTTTATTTTTATTTTGTTTTGTTGAACNTGTTGGATGGTATAAATTGTGGCAAAAAAAATAACCAATAAAAGGTTCAATTTTTTATTTTTATTTTGTTTTATTGAGCCTGTAAAATGTTTTATTGGTTACTATTTTTTTAAGATCCTGTTGAAATTTTTAAACAATAAATTGACCCAGATTGATTTTAAATTATGTAATTAAAGAAAAGCAAAGAAATTTTTTTGCTAAAATATTTTTTATTAAATAGTGATATTTTTTTGCTACATAGTGTCTTTAGGCACGGACAATTACTAAACAGGTTAGATATGTGTTGATAATTGAGTATATATTAATTATTGTAGTGGTATGGTGAATTTTTGTAAGTTTTATAGATAGATTTATATTTTTTTGGGCTTCTATTTTTTGAGGAAATTCTGCCTAAATTTTTTGAAATTAGTAGGGATTAGCTTGATATTTTGGTGGTTAGATAAGTGTTGATGATTGAGTATGTATTGATTATTGTGGTGGTAAGTTCTGTAAACAGGTTTATATTTTTATGGGTTCTTATTTATAGATAAAATTTCTGGATATTAGTATGAACTATCTTGATTTCAAATTGACAGGTTATTTTAGGTTGCAAAGAGTCTTTAGGTGTTATAGGATTCTTCGAGTTTTGGGTTGCGTGACACTATCTTGATTTCGTTACGCCGTGCTTTCAGGCACGGGCAATTACTAGTTTTTAATATTTCAAAAACAAAATAAAAACTCAACAATTTTGTCAAAATATTTTTTCTCTTTTTTTTGTCACAAAATCTAGATTAAATTTCTCCTTCAACTTTCATTTCTTTTGATGAGACCAAAGAAAATATGTTAATTTTCTTAAAAAAAATAATTTACAAGTTAGAATCGTAAAAAAAAAAAATTATTAAATTTTTGTGTCATACCAATCATGAAAAAATTAAAATTCACAAACTAGAAAAGGCTCGTTTATGTGTAAAACAATGTTTGTGTGCCAGAGAAAGAGAGAGATGGAGGGAGAAAGTATAGGTGGTTGATGTTGGAATGAGTTGAAATTTGCTTCTTTTTTTTTTATTTTAACGTTAGCTTCTTTTTTGTTTTTCCTGGGTGTTGAATGTTGTGGGTTAGATTATGGGCCTTATTTATTGGGACTAAATTTTTTTAATTGAATTATATTCTTATAAGGCCATTTTGCTAGGCCTAAAAATGTTATAAATGTAAAATTTTGGCATGGACTATTGATATTTGCACAAATTTTAGGCCTTTCATCTGAGTGGGGGCAGACAACCTATATTTTTATATAAAATTTTGGATAGAATGTCGGAGATCTGATCTGAAGTAATCCAAATTTGAAGCAACCCAGTAGCCAAAGAGTTTTCAGTCGTTGAAGAAGATAATCTCTAGTTGTGCAGAGAAGACACTGTGTGTGTTTGTTTTCATTCCTTTCGTCTGGTTTTGCCAAAGGCAGAGAAGATCCTTTTGTCTGGTTTCTTCAAAAAAGGGAGATAGAGAGAGAAAGGCAAAAAAAAAAAAAACTTTTATAGGAGAATTTGTTTTGCAGTTAAGGGAGGTTCGAAGGAAAGACCTCATTAATAAGCAAATGCGTTCTTCGTGTGTTCCCTTTTTCCCTTCTTTTGTTTTCAAAACACATGTGAACAAGCTAAGCTTGTTTTTCATTTTTTGTTCTTTACATGCTTCTTTTTTCGAAAATTGAAGAACCAAACAACTTCTCCTTATTTTTAGAATTTTGACAACAAAAAATTATTTTCAAAAACCAAACCAAATAGGCTGTTAAGTTTTGGGATTCACTCAGTTTCCGGTTCAATTATTACTTTTTAGATAGATTTTATTATTTTTTGGGGTAGAATTTATTGTCTTTTGGATTTTTTTTTAAATTTTTTTGATATGGTACCAAAATTTTATTTTTTCAGTACTATAGTATTTCCCATAACATTATGTTGAATATTTTCTACTTTAAAAGTTTAAACCAATCAAGAGTAATTAAACGGAAATATTTATCTAATAATTTAAATAGTACAATTCTCTATAAATTTACGTAGACCCCATTTTGTAAATAACTTTCTCATCAATACATAACAAATGATTTAGTTGTAGAAATTATTTATTTTTTTTAAAATTAGAGAATGAATTTGGATCCATTTTCAATAGAATAGAGTTCGATTTTTTTTTTTTTTTTGGTCACTATTTATACAGGGGAAAGAATTGTGAGACTCGAACATTGCACTAGAAGGCAAGGCGGCAAAAACACTAACTATTATGTCATTCCTCTTTGCTCAAATAGGGCTTGATAAATTAGGCCGAACATCAAGACAGTAGGAAGTGGCCCTGGGGAAAATGTTGCTAATAACTTTTTGTGGGCTGATCCGGCTTGGGCAAGGCAATATCACTCTAAGGTTGAGTTTGGAAGTTTGGGCCTAGCCCGTCCCAACCCAATATATGGGCCAACATGATTCACACGGATTAAAGAATGTCCTATTTTTTTTAGGAAAAATTTGGAGTCCAGTCTCTCTTTATAGATTTATGAATAATGCTATTTAAACCTAAAAATTTAATCTAATTTGTTGACATAATGATATGACTGCATATGAATAATTGGATCAACACCAAATTCCAATGTTTGATGGAGCCTGCAGTCAATGCAAAGGTCATAGTGAATTAGGTCAACAAATTATATTAGTAAATTATATCTCAATAACATTACTCTATATTTTTTTGGTGATAAGTTCATTAAGAAAATTATTTAATATTAAGTCTATTTTGATTTTCATTATCTAAAATATCCCTTGTAGTTATGTTTAATTAAAAAAAATTTGAAAACTAACAACTCTTAAATTTTAAGAGTTTGGCTAACATTAAAATTATATATATCTCTCTCATATCTATCTATATTTATATAATAAAGTACAATAAAATTCAAATATAAAAAAATAAATAAAATGACTTTTACTATTCGTGGTTGAGATCTCTTTCAATTTTATTTTAAAGTTAATCCAACGGCTAGTATTTTAACACTTCAAATTTAATAAGGAAAATAAGTCTCTAAATGAGTGTTTGAGATTAATTTTTAAAAGTGTTTTTAATATTTATAATTTTTCATAAATATTTTCAAAAAAAAAAAAAATTGTGTTTGAAACCACTTCACCATCACCATTACCACTATCACTCCCATCACCCCACCACCCCTCACCACCCCTGCCACCCCACTACGAAACTACCCCCCCACACCATCATCACCACTACCACTATCACCTCTATCGTCGCCATCCCACCACCACCACCCTACCCACTCTCTCACCACTATCAGAAACCCCCCGCCCCTTATCACCACCATCGCTGTCGTGACCATATCACCTTTTACTATCACCATCGTTGCCACCCCATCACCACCATCGCTCGTCCACCACCATCCCCATTGCACTCACCATCACCACCCTACCATCACTGCCACTTTCCTACCACCGTCATCGCCACCCCACCACCACCACCTTTATCACAACAACTACCACTACCCCTTACTATCACTATTGTTACCATTACTATTGCTGCCACCCCACCAACACTACCACACCCTACTGCCCGACCACCACCATTCCCACTACCCCCACCACCACTGCCACCTCCACCCCACCACCATCCTACCACCATCGCCATTGTCCAACCATCACCTCTACCACCACTACTCCTATTACCTCACCACCACCTTTAACAACCATCACCACTACTACCACCACCACCATTATCACTGTCGCTATCCCACCACAACCACTAACACCCATCACCACTATCATCGCTTACTCCTATTATAATTAGTACTTAAATTCATTTCTCTCTCTTTTATATTTTTGATTTAATTTTAAATGTGAATACAAATATATTTATTGTTGATCATTTTTTTTTATTATTTTGTGCCTTCAGAAAAAGACAATAACTAATTCCTATATAAAATAAGACTATTTATTTTTCTCTCTCATACACACACACACACACATACATATAGTAACATTAAAATAATATTTAAATATAAAAAATAGTATCATTCAAACACAAAAAAAGTAGTAACATTTAAACACAAAAAATTAATAATATTCGAAAACAAAAAAATAATAACATTGAGTATTAATATTTGAAAAAATAACAGTAGTAACGTGCTCAACAAAAACAGTACCAAAGGACCTTTGGTCCAATGATACTCCTTGTTTTGTGAAGACTTTGTCTTCTTAAGGTTAAAGATTCAAGTCCTCTCTCCCTTTTTTCCCAAAAAATAAATAAATAAATAAACAGTAACATGCTCAGAAAAATAGTAACATAATATATATATATATATATATAGAGAGAGAGAGAGAGAGTATTAGTTATTCTTCATTAATAGTGAATTAAGAGATAAGAACAGATTTATCTCTCAATAAATTTTCTTGACGAACTAAAAAAACTAGGATTTAAGTTTAAATCAAACAAAAAACAGGGAGTCTACAAAAATAAAATAAATTTTTTTAAGACAAACAAGGTTTTTTTTTCTCTACCTCATTATAAATACATACAGAAACCTCTTTTGAACATGATAATTTGCAGAAACCATTTGAGAGCGCGACATCACTTCTGCTTCTATTGTAATAAAAGATTCCATTTTTATGTTAAAAAAGACCCGTATCAATAATTATGATTTTTCGTATGAACAATTCCTCAATATCTTGTTCATTCGCAACAATATTTTCTTTGCACGTCGGTGAAAAAATAATATCCTTTTTTGAGAGAAGATATACTATTTCACCAATCAAGTCACAAACATCTAACATATTCATAGCTAACTATTTTTCATAAAAATAGTGACGAAATATATAACTTGTACAAATTTNTTGAGAGAAGATATACTATTTCACCAATCAAGTCACAAACATCTAACATATTCATACCTAACTATTTTTCATAAAAATAGTGACGAAATATATAACTTGTACAAATTTTTTTCCATTTTCTAAGTTGATCTGATCCATTCGTTCGTTGAGTTATTTACATGATCACAAGCATTTCTGAAACACCACTAACGTAAGGAAAAATAATCAATAAGCGGGGGGAGTGCGAGTGGCATTCGGGCTGGATAAACAAATTGAGTTCCGGCATGTGTAAGAGAATATGCCTTGTTTTAAATAGAAAACACTACAGCTAAAAGTTCTTGGGTCTCCAAAAAAGGAAAATCAAGTGACATTAGCTCTAAGAGAAAACTCCAATCGTAACCGAAACGAAATCTAAACTCTCGTGGTCTAAGTTCGAATCTTGACAATTTATTGAAATCAGAACATAAGAAATTTATCTTTCATGAATACCTTAATCCTAGCGTAGATAACCAGCCTTTGACCGGACTGGAAAGGGGATTAATCGNGAATCTTGACAATTTATTGAAATCAGAACATAAGAAATTTATCTTTCATGAATACCCTAATCCTAGCGTAGATAACCAGCCTTTGACCGGACTGGAAAGGGGATTAATCGAAGTGAGCGTAAGNCCTTGACAGTTGAACCAAAAAAAAAAAAATCAAGTAGCACTGTTGAACTAATTTGCACATCATCTGGACGGCAACTGTAATTCCCACAAATAACTAGGAGATAACAAGGCAATTGCACCACCGATAGCTAAATCAATCCCTAACAAGACAACGATGGAGTGAAGCTAATCTTGACAGTTTGAGAAGCTGAGGAGAAGGGAAAACAACAAGAATACATGAAGGATCATTGGAGTAGGATCTTGCCATGCCAACCCAAGTTTATTTACAGAACATTATCTATCGAAGTGATAATTCAGGCTATTTTCAATGGAATCCCCCAAGGAAATATTAGATCAATACATTAAAAATCCAAAAGTATAATTGGTGCCTAGCAATGCCTTTTCCCAGATGCTTAATAAGAGTGACACAGTAATTCAATATTATNCATTATCTATCGAAGTGATAATTCAGGCTATTTTCAATGGAATCCCCCAAGGAAATGTTAGATCAATACATTAAAAATCCAAAAGTATAATTGGTGCCTAGCAATGCCTTTTCCCAGATGCTCAATAAGAGTGACACAGTAATTCAATATTATCAAAATCATTTACCAATATATGCGTCGATCACTTAGGGAAATGACACGCATTGAAAAACTCATAAAATTTGGGCAATTTTCTACAAATATGTCATGCATGTATTGTTAATACCCATATACACTGACCATGTGAAAGCAGAAATCGTTTTGATAGCCATTGGAACTTAATAGATATACATACAGAGACACAACATGGTTAGTGAACTCCCAAACATTTATGTAGCACAGTAATACATACAAGATGACACAATAAAGATGGTCCAATGTAGACCACTTTGTCCTTTCTTTTCTTTTTACTTCTCCTACTTCCATTTTTTTTTCTTTTTCCATTTTTCATCATATTTCTATATACATGATAGCCAATATAGAGCTTTTATCATCAAGAATTAGATTAAGCCCAAAGTACTGTACATTTGAAAGATGTTACCAGAAAATATCATCCACAGCCACCATCGAAGATGAGTGCGAGTCATAGTCGTCTTCTACCTCCGTCTCCAACTCTGGCTCGCCAGACCCAAATTCACCTGATTCAATATCAGCAAGGTTCTTCAAGTCAACGACCGAAAGCTCGTCTAGGTGCCTCACTACCAAGTCAGCAGCCCCAAGTTCATAGACTGGATGCTTGCTAGCAACTGCCACACACTTCATTCGTCCATCATGGGCAGCCTCCACTGTTTGATTTGAGTTTCCAAAGACAATACATCGCTCAGGTGTGAATTGTAGAAGCTGTGCTGCATATACAAACATTTCAGGATCAGGCTTCCCTCTGTGAACATCCTCTGCGGCTACAATTACATTGAAGACCCCTTCGATCCCAATGGCACCCATAGCAGTCTCGAGAATCTTCCTTGGCCGAGTAGACACTAAGGCCATTGGTATCTTGTAATGCATCAGCACATTCACAAACTCTTGAGAACCAGATCGAAATCTATAAATCCCACCCTGCAAGGCCTGGTGAATCTCCTCCTTTCTAGAGGCCATTCTCCTCATCTGAGCTGGGTCTCTCGACCAGCATAGCACTTCGGAAATGGCTTGCTCGTTCTTCATTCCTTCTATTCTTCGAAGGATGAAAGCTGGAGGGGGTGATTTTCCTTCTTCCTGGGCAAGAGCCAACCAGGCCTGCTTCTCAAGATCGGGATTATCTTCAATTACAACTCCTTCCCATTCAAATATAGCACCTAACCATCCACAACCCATCCTTTCTTGTCGAAGCAATGGATTTTGCAGTGATGGGTTGTCAGCCTTGTTCTCTGGTGGCCACAATCCTGGTTTTCGATCAAAACCGGTATCAATCTGGTATTCAATATTTCGAGGTATTCGCTCCTTTTCTTTATACGAATACACTTCTTTTGTCAATTCCATTGCTTGTGACTTAACTGATGGAACAAGTAACCGAGCAACTCTCGGTTGTGGCACAGAAATGGAAAAAACAATCTTTCTACCAATAAATTCAGTAGAAGGGAGCCTGCAAATGTCAACAGGCTTCCTTTTGCTGCAGACAGCCTTACCGTAATATCGTCCATATACTGGTGGGTGCACCAAAAGGGTTGCCCCTGCAAGTGATTCCACCATATTGCCAAATACAAACAGTAGCTGAACCCAACCAGATATCTAGATTAACAACTTTCCCCTAGATTGAAAACCCCCCTTTCAACTTCTTCCCACGTTGAACCAAGAGAAAACCCTCCCAAAATCAACCAAACTTTGGTCAATTCCTATGAATTGAGACTATCCAAGATTTAGCACTAAACCTCAACCCTTAGACCAGACTATTTACCAAACTGGGGCAAATTTTAACACCAGCATAAGCTATCCAAACCAGGATTCCACAAATCCAGTGCAAATTTTTCTCAAAAGGTCTCCAATTCTCATAGCTATATTTCCCAAAACCCACGAATCTTTAATTTAACAGAACCCTCTTTTTGTGAGAAAACTGTGTGACTCCCAAGTTATTCCCTCAACAACCGAAAGGGGTAAAAGTATAACAAACAGCCTTCCCACAACAAAGATCCAACCTTTACTCAATACCCATCAAAGTCACCAAAAGACAAATAAAGGAAAAACTAAAAATGAATATACAGAGACTTCTTCCCACTAAAATTTGCAAACAATTTTACAACTACAAACCAACCAAATACAAAAAGAGCTGAATTTGTGGGGAAAACAAGATAGAAATTCTAATTCGTATATGTAATTACAAAGAGAGAGAGAGATGTAAGAAGAACCTGGTGGGTGAAACCACCCGTGGAGTGAAGATTAGACAACGAATTTAGAGAGAGAGAGAGAATTAGATTCTTCTTCGATCAAGTTTTTTTGTGGTTTCTGTTGTATTACAGGCTTGACAGGAGACATAAATAGGGGCTCGTCTTTTTTGAGTCTCCTGGTTACGTACCGGTGGCGCCAGCCAACGTTAGCCGTGTCACAAGTACACGTGTCGGTAATGTGAACAGTAATGTCATTAAAGGGTTTGAAAATATCACTACACGCGAACAAAATAAGAAATTGGAGGAATTAGATTTTATTTTAAGTTATTTATTTTATAAACGACTAGGATCAGACCCGACATAATTAAGGGTAGAGTTGATAAAAAAATATAAGATACGACTCATTTATATATCGATTATATACGATTTATATAAAATGTAAATTTAATATTACACAATTCGTTACATACTAACTAATAAATAAATCGGATATAAATAAAATATTTTTTAACATGAATCTGCTATGACTTTACAAACTTGCATCACCTGATACAACATGTTTTACGTGCCTAAATTTTCTCTCTCTTATTTTTAGTTTAAACAACAATAAATTACCATATTTCAAACACGTGTTAGCCCAACCAAGCACATTATTATAAAAAAAAAATAGTATTTAAAATATATTGTAATATTGTTTCACATGTTTTTAATGAGTTATAACAAATAAGTTATCAATAATTCTTTGCATTGCCTTATTTGTGCGGGGTTAGAGCAACTTCAAATAGAGTTGTCATTTTAGAGTGTCAAATAACTTATTTGTAACTTTGAATAGTATTTTAGCATCTTTAAATTATAAATTTACTCTAATGACAGGTGCCAAATAGGGTGTCATTTTCATATTTTTATTCATCAATCTATATAAATCGTTGGATCTATATTCATTGTTAGATCATTCAACAATTTAACAGATCTATATTCATCAACTCATTTGCAATCTTTACCTTTCTCTCTCCAGAGTTGCCAAAAATGTCACCTCAAAAGCCTTGATGCAATTTTACAACTCTTGATATCACTCTTTTTGAAGTGGAGAATTTTGAATTTGGGGTGGCATCAAGGGTTTTCACTTTTGATGTCACTCCCCCTGTAATTGNTCACTCTTTTTGAAGTGGAGAATTTTGAATTTGGGGTGGCATCAAGGGTTTTCACTTTTGATGTCACTCCCCCTGTAATTGCTCTTAACGAGTTAAAATTTAAATTTTAGTAAATTTAAATTATAAATGGGTCAATTCTTTGGATAAATGAGTGGAAATGAATTTTACTAAACATTCTTTATACCCGACTAATCGAATATGTATGATTATAGAAATGAAATGAATTAAAATTCAATTATTAAAAGCATTGTAGAATGAAAAATTGTTGGAGGGTGATGGAAACAAAGAGAGTAATATTAAAGTGAATAATAGTCCTTGTCTTGAGATAGAAATTAAATTTTTTATAATGAAGCTATGGATAAGAGCTTATGAAAAGGTCAACCCTATTTCAATCCACTTCTGTTTCTAATTCCCCAATAAAAAAATATTCAAGTACCATTGTGTAGCATAATCAAAACAATTTTGTCTTAAAAAAATATAAATTTTTTTAATATTTTCAATAGCTTCAAGACACATCTATAACATCTATAACTTGACAATATATTCCTCTGCATTTCCTTTTACAAACTCTTATTTTAGAAGGATTTGTGGAAATAAGATGGGTTATTTAGGGTTATTTGTGGAAATAAGATGGGCTATTTGTGGAAATAAGATGGCTGCATCACATTGTCTAAAGTTTTACACTGATATTTAGGGTCGATAATCGAACTTTGCTATTTGAACTCGGCTCAAATTCAGTTCGTTTTGGACTCAGCTCGTTTTAGTCGAACTTAAACAATTTTTTAAACTTGTTTAAAAAATGAGTTCGACATGCTCGACTTGTTTATATATAAATATTCGGATTCGGTTCGTTTTGGATTTATTCAAGTTTGGTTCTTTTTTTTAAGATAATCAAAATTGAACAATTTTTTAGACTAGTTTAAAAAAAAAAAGTTCGGCAAATCCGACGTGAGCTCATTTGATTTCATTTAATTATCAACCCTGATTATATTAAATACCCTTACTTTTCTAAGGAGTATAAATCAAGCCGAACCCTCTCAATTTAAAAATACTTCTATTATTTTTCTAATCTAAATCAATCATGACAAGTGTTCTGTTCACAAGTTAAATGTATTGCGTGACTCAACTTGTTTAAATTGGGTGTTTTTAATTGAAAACAATGCGAAAAATCAGTAAATGAGGAGGATTCTAGTCCTATGTGCAAATAGCCAAGAGAAGCAAAGTGTGAGCAAAATGACTTGCAATACATTCCACTCAACAAACTCAAAAAGCCCTTTTGAATTCCAAAGTCAATGATATGATCAAACACCCCCCACGTTTATTTTTTTTTGCAAGGAAAAATCACAAAACATACAAATTAGGTNGCAATACATTCCACTCAACAAACTCAAAAAGCCCTTTTGAATTCCAAAGTCAATGATATGATCAAACACCCCCCACGTTTATTTTTTTTTGCAAGGAAAAATCACAAAACATACAAATTAGGTATATTGGACGGTCCACCTAAGTCTTCAATTCCTACGAGGCAACCATTTTTTTTTCAATGGTCACAGGTGTTCGGATTAATTTAAGCACACTTCGACTAATTTTTTTTCTGATCCGATCAAAGACAAACCATCCACGTCAGAATTAGAGTATTTACAAGGAATAAACCTCGCATAATCTGATTTTAAAAAATTGTTAAAATTTAAATTTAAAATATTTAAATTTATAATTTATCATTGTTACCACTTAAACTACGCTAACTGGCGCAACCAAAACTTCAGTTTTATATGGTAAGTCAGCATTGTGGTTCTGTGATAAGTCACCAGTGAGATAGTTCCAAATGTGAGGACCATTAGATCATTCCATTCTCCTTTGTCCTTGTTCAAGAAAGACAATTCAACACTCCACCACCTCCCCCCAAAAAAAAAAAAAAAACCATGATTCTTATGTGCAAACTCTAGGACAATGCCATCCCAAGTCGGCAAGATCCACTTGTTACCACGTCATCAAGTTTGAAGCATCACAGAACACTAAACCAATGATTGGCCTGGGTTGGACCGAAGTTATGTTGACTAATGAAAATGCAATTTGTAATTTGAAACATTTAAGAATTATTATTTTATATTTTGAAAATTTTATTTTTCAAGTTCATACCGACATATATGTCATACATTATTATCAATTTAGAGAAAAAGAGTCTCGAGAAATCTTCATTTCTCATTTTTTTCTTGTAAAATTCTTATTTATTTAATTACAATACAAACTATCATTCAATCATATCTACCCAAGTGTCATGTAATCACCCCTCTATCCCATTATAATTTCCTATAATTCTTGTATAATATCCTTAAGAATATCGTAAATTTTGCACATCGCATAGACTGCAGCCACTAGGATGATTTTTTTTTTTGGGTGCAGTACAAAATTTAAAATTTAAATAGAGCCGCTAAGAATCTATAACAAAGGCAGTACTAGCAAGATGTGCATCAAAACAATCCTCATCTCTACCGGGGCCTATCTAGATAGACCATGTTTTGGTCTTGTCTTTCACCCATGTTTACAAGGGCATCTGCAGATTGATTCCCTCTACAAAGGAAATGTTGGTAAACACATTGGCTATAGGACCACTTGGTTGAAGTGGGTTAAAGGAGACAGGCCCAATTTTTAAAATGGATTGGACTTTGAGTTTGTACGTTTTTGCTAATTTGTTTTCATACTCCCGCTTTCGAGTTCTGTGTATTTATTTTACTTGTCGGCCAACTGTTTGTCAAAAGTTCGGAGAGAAACGTCCCAACAGAGGCGTCAAAACATGGGGAAGAAAGGATCAAACCAGAAAGCTGCTAATGTGACTTCTGGGTCATTGAGTTCAACGCTAAGGGAAGAGTCGAGTGGGAAGAAACAGACCAAAACTAATGCCAAATCCATGCTAAAATTAGAGCATATAAAGAATCTTGCAGTTTGGGCTAGCGGCGAAGCCACCATACCTTCATTGGGCGCCTTCTTTGGGCATCGTTTGGCTGCCTATGCCGATGCCTTGGGTACACACCCTGACCCGTCATTGTTTCCTTGCCACAGGTTTCACGACTCTCTCTCTCCCTCTGTGATGTGCGTGGGTCTAATTGTTGCTTTTGAGCTGCGGAATATTGGAACTTTTTGGATTTAACATTTGATATATCACCCATTAGCGCAATGTGCAAACAAAGTTCTGGGATCCTTGAATCAAGAGCATATGATTTTTTTTCTTGAACTGGATGCTCTTACGTCTCAACCCAATATTGTATCTAACCACANCAATACAAACTATCATTCAATCATATCTACCCAAGTGTCATGTAATCACCCCTCTACGGCATTATAATTTCCTATAATTCTTGTATAATATCCTTAAGAATATCGTAAATTTTGCACATCGCATAGACTGCAGCCACTAGGATGATTTTTTTTTTTGGGTGCAGTACAAAATTTAAAATTTAAATAGAGCCGCTAAGAATCTATAACAAAGGCAGTACTAGCAAGATGTGCATCAAAACAATCCTCATCTCTACCGGGGCCTATCTAGATAGACCATGTTTTGGTCTTGTCTTTCACCCATGTTTACAAGGGCATCTGCAGATTGATTCCCTCTACAAAGGAAATGTTGGTAAACACATTGGCTATAGGACCACTTGGTTGAAGTGGGTTAAAGGAGACAGGCCCAATTTTTAAAATGGATTGGACTTTGAGTTTGTACGTTTTTGCTAATTTGTTTTCATACTCCCGCTTTCGAGTTCTGTGTATTTATTTTACTTGTCGGCCAACTGTTTGTCAAAAGTTCGGAGAGAAACGTCCCAACAGAGGCGTCAAAACATGGGGAAGAAAGGATCAAACCAGAAAGCTGCTAATGTGACTTCTGGGTCATAGAGTTCAACGCTAAGGGAAGAGTCGAGTGGGAAGAAACAGACCAAAACTAATGCCAAATCCATGCTAAAATTAGAGCATATAAAGAATCTTGCAGTTTGGGCTAGCGGCGAAGCCACCATACCTTCATTGGGCGCCTTCTTTGGGCATCGTTTGGCTGCCTATGCCGATGCCTTGGGTACACACCCTGACCCGTCATTGTTTCCTTGCCACAGGTTTCACGACTCTCTCTCTCCCTCTGTGATGTGCGTGGGTCTAATTGTTGCTTTTGAGCTGCGGAATATTGGAACTTTTTGGATTTAACATTTGATATATCACCCATTAGCGCAATGTGCAAACAAAGTTCTGGGATCCTTGAATCAAGAGCATATGATTTTTTTTCTTGAACTGGATGCTCTTACGTCTCAACCCAATATTGTATCTAACCAAAGTATCTGTATACACAATCCATATGTTGTGAAATCTATGATCAATGTAGTGAGTGGAATCATATTTCACCATTATGTTTGGACAGTTTCGTCCTCCCAAAGACTTCTTGGTTGAGCTTCAATTTCACCAATTAAGTTTTCATTTTGAAGAAAGTGCATGGAATTTCCAAGTTTAATATGTTTGGCATAGCAAAAAAGATCAATAATTTCAATGGCATTCTGTTAATTTGTCACAAATGCATGAAGTAGTCGATGATTTCTCCGGTGACCTCTATAGTTTGATTGATAAGTTAACTGCTTATAGTGTAGCTAACTGATCCTATGCAGGTTGTGAAATGTAATTCTCAATAATATTGTTTGTTGCCTAACCTTTAGTTAAATTACTATGAATGAGATGTCTTCAAATATAAGGAGTGAAACAAGTTTATACATATGTCCTGATACCATTTACCTTTTCTACAGACGTGAATCCATTCTTCAGCCAGGCTATAATTTTACAGTACAAATCGAAAAGAACAGAACAAAGGTGCAAAATAGACGCAAGAAACCTAGTACATCCACTCAGAACAATGTGGTTTACAAGTGCCACTTCTGTTTCCATGGTAATATCAAGAGAGGGACCCCGAGAGGCCATATGAAAGAGATACGTCCTGGGAAGGCAAAACTGCCTTCTAAATCAGAGCTAGCTGATTCCGCAGACCACAAGCCTACCAGCTCAGAGCTTGTGACAAATGACAATGTTAATGTTGATGTTAATAAGATGGATGATGTTGCCTTACCAGAAGTAGCCAAAGATGATNGCCTTCTTTGGGCATCGTTTGGCTGCCTATGCCGATGCCTTGGGTACACACCCTGACCCGTCATTGTTTCCTTGCCACAGGTTTCACGACTCTCTCTCTCCCTCTGTGATGTGCGTGGGTCTAATTGTTGCTTTTGAGCTGCGGAATATTGGAACTTTTTGGATTTAACATTTGATATATCACCCATTAGCGCAATGTGCAAACAAAGTTCTGGGATCCTTGAATCAAGCTTGAACTGGATGCTCTTACGTCTCAACCCAATATTGTATCTAACCAAAGTATCTGTATACACAATCCATATGTTGTGAAATCTATGATCAATGTAGTGAGTGGAATCATATTTCACCATTATGTTTGGACAGTTTCGTCCTCCCAAAGACTTCTTGGTTGAGCTTCAATTTCACCAATTAAGTTTTCATTTTGAAGAAAGTGCATGGAATTTCCAAGTTTAATATGTTTGGCATAGCAAAAAAGATCAATAATTTCAATGGCATTCTGTTAATTTGTCACAAATGCATGAAGTAGTCGATGATTTCTCCGGTGACCTCTATAGTTTGATTGATAAGTTAACTGCTTATAGTGTAGCTAACTGATCCTATGCAGGTTGTGAAATGTAATTCTCAATAATATTGTTTGTTGCCTAACCTTTAGTTAAATTACTATGAATGAGATGTCTTCAAATATAAGGAGTGAAACAAGTTTATACATATGTCCTGATACCATTTACCTTTTCTACAGACGTGAATCCATTCTTCAGCCAGGCTATAATTTTACAGTACAAATCGAAAAGAACAGAACAAAGGTGCAAAATAGACGCAAGAAACCTAGTACATCCACTCAGAACAATGTGGTTTACAAGTGCCACTTCTGTTTCCATGGTAATATCAAGAGAGGGACCCCGAGAGGCCATATGAAAGAGATACGTCCTGGGAAGGCAAAACTGCCTTCTAAATCAGAGCTAGCTGATTCCGCAGACCACAAGCCTACCAGCTCAGAGCTTGTGACAAATGACAATGTTAATGTTGATGTTAATAAGATGGATGATGTTGCCTTACCAGAAGTAGCCAAAGATGATTCTAAAACGGGCACTCTGGCTGCTCCATCAACGACAAGGGGCCTTTCTTTGTTGGAGGCAAAGAGCAGAAAGAGGAATAAGCCAGGATCTAAGAAAACAGCTGAACCTGAGAGCAGTTCTGCCACAACAGATGCAGAAAAAGCTCCAAGCACATCAAACAAGCGGAAGAGAAAATCTTGGACTAGTTTGAAGGAAATTGCTGGGAGCAGAGAGCATGATAGCAACCTAAATATCACCAACTTAACAATCCCATTCTTCATATAATTGGGATAACCTTTTAAATAGACGGCACTGGACTCACTTTCCAGCTCACAATTGAAAAGGTGTGGAACTTCAAAGGTCAGAGAAAGACTCTCTACAAGCGGAAAAGAGTACTTTGCAAGGGCACCAATATCCCAGAGGGACGAAGATATGAGTTAGGGCGGGGCATGACATACCTTCACTTAAGAGGAAGGTGCGGGTGTACAGGTCTAAGTCCCAGATGAGAAGGGTGATGTTTGCTAACCACCTAACCATCTGCTTTCCAGGGCATGTGAGGCTGTTCTGATTGATCCTAATCATGCGAAGCCCATAGCGTAACTATAAGGCGTGGATGCCATAGATAGAAGTGTAATTGTGGATTGACACGATGAGTCTGCCTTCACAATTGCAAAGGAAATGCTGCAATTTTGCATCTTGTGATATATGAATGTTGATAGAGATGTTAATATACAATGTCGGTGGCTTCCATGATAATCACTTACCCTTGTTAATTTGCATTTAGAGACAGGTTTGATGTTGTTTTGAAAGCTACTTACCCTGCAAATCTAATGAAAGAACTTAAGTAGCCAGTGGTTCTTGATATGTTATAACCCAGGCTTGTGACCCCCCAAAAAAGTGGCTCTTTATATTAACCCTAGCTAGGAGATGGCAGCAAAGTTTTCCATCTAGTGAACAAAATTTATTTGAATATGTCATCTGTATGTCTTATTTAACCAAAATGCATTGTTTAGCACTTCTTGTGCCAAAATGTAGCATTTTTTGCACTATTGTTTTTTTGGTTTAATGATCAGGGTGTTCGGGCCAACTTTCATGCACCTCGACTAATCCTTTCTTGATTCAGTCAAAGATAGACCATCCACATAAGAATTAGAGGATTCATGAAAGACTCNGATATATCACCCATTAGCGCAATGTGCAAACAAAGTTCTGGGATCCTTGAATCAAGCTTGAACTGGATGCTCTTACGTCTCAACCCAATATTGTATCTAACCAAANTAAGAATTAGAGGATTCATGAAAGACTCTAAGTAGTTGCCAACATTCAAGCTAAGAATGTTTGAGTTTATAGTTCGTCCCTGTTATCATTGGAACTATTTTTTAGAGTTGCATTAATGTTTTCAGATGTCATGGTATAACAATATTTCATTTACTCTACATGTTTTTACTTCAAAATGATCAAAAATTTATGTGACATTTTATTTCTGACCAATGATAATTTGATTATATACTTTCGTAGATTTGAATCTAATAATCAATTATTACTTATGATGAGCTTAAATCTAATCGAGTCAGACTCAATAAATTAAGTAGGTCCAAATCAACTAAAAGACAGGTCAAACTCAGTTTGTGAATTTGACCCAGCCCAACGTCCAAGAACTCCAAGAGGATTAGAGCATGTGGAGAGCAATAATCGGAATACCTACTCTCAAAGATCAAGACAGTCTTTAATTGTACTTACCTTTTGTAACTATTCACCTCGAATGATTAGTGTTTTTGCCTTCATGTCACCGCCTCAACTAAGGCTTTATGCCTATAAATTATAAACTCTCGTTACATGAGAGGCACCACTCTACACATCCCACACATAATTTTTCTCTCCCGGGACNTAAATTATAAACTCTCGTTACATGAAAGGCACCACTCTACACATCCCACACATAATTTTTCTCTCCACTAGTTATTGTATCTATCCCAGGGCTAATCATTACTCTCTCTTCCATTCACCTTACTTAATCTATACTATTTTAAAAAGTTAAGATAAATGAAAAAATTTTATTGGACTAAATTATCCCTACCAAATTATATAATGACAATTGTGACTTCATAGATACTGCAATTGTGACAGTTACAAACTCTTGGAATGGTTACTGTTACAGACTCTTCATATCTTTTATCAAATGTATCACTCGACTTATTAGTTTCTCTACCATGCCAATTACTTATGGCTTAACCCCCAAAGATGGTTCCCTTGAAAATGGTTCTCCGTCATGTCAATACCAAGTTGATGGCAAGCTGGGAACGAGACATACTTGCTTGGCGATATTNATTTGAATATGTCATCTGTATGTCTTATTTAACCAAAATGCATTGTTTAGCACTTCTTGTGCCAAAATGTAGCATTTTTTGCACTATTGTTTTTTTGGTTTAATGGTCAGGGTGTTCGGGCCAACTTTCATGCACCTCGACTAATCCTTTCTTGATTCAGTCAAAGACAGACCATCCACATAAGAATTAGAGGATTCATGAAAGACACTAAGTAGTTGCCAACATTCAAGCTANCTAGAATGGATTTTGGGTTTAATTTTAATTTTTTTGGTTTTGTTTCTAAATTTACATGAAATCTACCGTATTTGTAGAAACTCAATCCTCATATCAAAAACTAGACGAAAAAAGAATCCATAATTTTGAGGAGTTCTTCAAGGGAAGACAAAATATCAAGGCAAAGCCAGGAGGACGGTCTGACAAAAAAAGAATCCATACTTTTGATGGGAATATTTTTTTTATCAACAAAATATTCTTGCTCTGCCACAACTCATGCTGAACAGTGGATTTCCAGCTAGATGACTGGTATCAACAACTTACTGCAAGGGGGCAAAATTTTGAAAATTCATTACACCAAAAATACATGTATGCAACATGAGATTGACGCTTTTAAACAACTTAGACCGATAAGTAAGACTGTTATTTTAAACCAATATGAGTTAGTTTTGTACCTCGGTGACATCATGTTCCTATGTTATATTCATATTTTACTCCTAGACCTTGACATGGTATCGTTCCTTTGGGTTGCTCTAGAGAAAACTTTGTTTGTCTATAGCAGTTTGTAGGCTAGATCCTACTTTTGGATAAAAGGATAACAAAAATACAGTTGTTCTTTTTTGGCAATTTTGGCTCAAAAACTAACTTTTAGCCTTTTGCATGGTTTTGCCCCATTGAGATATTTTCAAGGAATTATTAATTCATCTGTCAAAGTTGGTGATCACTGTGTTTGTCATATTGCTGCTCCATAGCTTGCAATCACTTGGAGTTTGAAATCGCTAGATGTTCCATGATTATGAACAATTAAACATCACATAAACTATCTTAAGAACCTGTTTTTTCCCTCAAGCTATTCTCCTTGAGAACATCTTAAGCAACTATTTTTGGTCAAATCGTTGGAATTCTATTGTCATTACCCACCTATAAGGGTCCAAATATTTTCACAAAGAATCTTGGGGACACCATTTTCGTTTATTTTTAAGTGGTTATATTATTTTTCAATTGCCTATTTTGTGCTTAGTGGCGTAATGTGATTGTTGTTTGAATTGGAACATGAGTCTTGAATCATTGTTTCTATAAAATTTGATCGCCTGTAAGCGGGTAACAATTCGAGTATGAGTTGGACGGACTAACAAGAAAGTCGTCCCAACATCTTGCTATCAAAATTTGGATAAAAATGAATTAGTATGTTTTTAACAATTCTTCATTTTTAGGGACTGTAAATAAGATAAGTACTTTATTATTTCTGTCTTCTTTTAATTGTAAATAGTTTTTGGTTGATCTTAAATTGTATTGTTTCTTTCATTTAGGAGAGCTGGTATTAGTTAGCCATGAAATTAGTTGATGTAACCAATGTTGTACATCCATGTCAAACTCTTCTTCAAATGGCCTCAAAGAATTGTGGTTGCCTGTAAAAGGAATTTCTTTGTCATTATTTTCATGTACATTACATCATTGATCAGTAATGAAACAATAGAAGTACACGTATAGTTAATTTTTTGTTGATCTCATTCAATTTTTTCTCCTTCTTCTCGCATCTTTCATTTCTCATTTTGTCAATTAATTTTCTTAAAAATTTATGTTTTATGGGCCATCCTTGATATAATGACAACATTGTGATGCTTACTCATTGTATCATTTACTTTAATGTTTTTTTTAACAAAAAAAAAAGAAGGTGCGAGCTGGTGTGCTTGTTGGGACAAGGGTAGATGATCTTATAGTTTTTAATGGTGTTCAGGCTCTATTGAAGAAAGCTTACAGGAAAATTCACCATTTTTTAATGCCTTATGCTATAAAAAACATGGGTTTTGCCTTGCAATTGATCTTTGTTTTATGGGACCAAACTATTCAATTTCACCTGCTTGTGCTACATTCAAATATTGCTTCTATGTTGTAGCCCATCACATCCATCGAGGTGATGCTGATATGATGATCACTGATGGAATTGAAGTTGTCCTAAATGTTATTGGATTGGAAGTTTTGTTGGAACCAGAGCTTTGTCTTAGAGAAATGATGATCCATAAACTACTTCTAGGCCATGAAACCAAGATTGGGCTGAGTTTGTCATGGGTCAAGGAACGAGACTTTTGATAAGCTTTCTCCTACAGTTTATTTTCTTTCAGTTTAGCAAATACATTTTAATTTTCTTTGGAGGACTTGGTGTTTCTTCATGCCTTTGAATATGCTGGTTTGTCAACAAAGACGACACTAGCTTTCTTTCTTGAAGGCAACTTTCTTATTCAATGGTCTGTATTTTCCTAAATGTTAAAAGTTGTTCTCAGATGCTTTGAGCATTTTCGTTCTCACATGCTTTTTGGTTGTTGATATGTAGGTGGTCATGAACTTATCCTTAGCATGTGGAAAAAATATGGAAGAGCATTTTTGAGGTCCCTCTGTCAATAGTATGCCAACTGGGGCGTTGATTTTGGTCGTTTAACAGTATGGGGCTGAAAATAATTCTTTGTTTCTGTAGGTTACGACAACCCTGTGTTAGCAATAAATTAGTTATAATGCACATGTAGATATCAAGTATAAAACAAATTTGATCATGCTTTGCATTTTATTTTAAATAAGTTGAGTTTTTTAATGGCATCTACATTGACTTTATATTGTTTCCACTTCCATTGTGGGATGTTTAAATGCACAAGTAACTAAAATCAATGAACCACCCATGCCTCAACCTTTATTTGAGATCACAAAATTTTCTACCATTACTAGAGCTGAACTTCAGTTCCTTGTTTCTATTTCTATTATAGATGGTACTAGAAGACTTGGTGTTTACAACATTGTGGTAGTGCTCCTAATTTGTCACATCGATTAATCACTCATGAAGTTTAATATTAGATATTATCTTAGTAGCCAATTTCTATTAACCAACTACTAACTGATTGCTTCATTTATCATCACTGATTAAATATAGATGATATCATCTTTGTGTCAGAGGTGCATTTTTTTTTGCAATTTTTGTAAATTTTGCCTTAAAGCCTCTGTGTGGGATTCATACCGATGATATTAAAAGTGCCCTCATACCACAACAAGTAGACATTAGCTAAAGTTATAAAGCTATTGATACTTTTATTACTTACATGTGAATTCCATTTACATCATTCTAATTTCCCACATAGGTGGCTTTCGTGGTGAGAGTGCAACTCTTGCTAAAAGTATTACTGTTGTGCAAATGAAAATACCTTTCAATATCTTCTAAAAGATGCTTCAAATTTCTTCAAATGCTAGCTTGTCATCATCACTATGGGTAGTAAGCGAAGGTACAAATTGCTTCAATGAAGTATCCTTAAATAAAAGTTTAATGTCATATTGGTTTATCTTCATGTTACAATTCAAGCATAGTTCCACTGGTTGGACCACCATTGGCAATATCAATGGGCTATACTACTAAGACCTTTCAATTGGGTGATATCATCCGTAAGTCTCTCTCTCTCTCTCTCTCTCTCTTTGTGTTTTACTTAGATGGTTGCTAAGTAGTTCATGGGGTTATTGGGAATAAATTGTGAAGCTAATGATATTGTTTTTGTGTTTGCTAAATTGTTAGTTGAGATAATTGAATGGAAAAAAATATATTTAGGGTTGGAATTCAAATGGGGTTCATCAACCTACTCCCCTCTCCCATATATATATATATATATTAGGTGGTGGATACTTTTGTTGCTATTTGAGTTATTGAAAATTCACTATGTTTAAAATTTCAATGTTGGACCCAGTATCATTTCATGTTAGTTTGTTAAATTAGATCCTTTAAATTAAGGGTCTTCTAATTTTTTAGGTTATGGTTACTTGGTTACGTTGATTGTTAAGTTGAATGAAGCATTGATGATTCTTGTTGTTTTAATGAAATTCATTGATAATTGACCTAATATTGACAGATATATGCTTAACATATGAGATGTTTTTTTTTTGGGGGAGGGGGGGGGGGCAAAGAACTATAAGATTTTACTGGAGGAACTATTTTGAGCAAACTAATCGTTTGATGTGGGTGGTTGATAGATCCAATCTTAGAAGGTTAGATGATTGCAAATACGAACTGGATAATCTTTTGAAGAAAGAGGTATATCTCATTCTGACTCTTTTTTGTATTATGTTATCTCTATTTATGAAGAGTTGGGAAAAGAAATATGAACTTGGAATATTTTAGCGGGTCAGTCCATGAGTTTTTAGGAAACAACTTAAGAATTTTTGTTTGTCTATTATCACTTAACTTTGTAAACTTTGAGTCAATCTATGAATAGGTAGCATACTTGATGTATTTTACAAAAGGTTTACGCACCTTATAAGGGATGACAACGTTTATTTTTTTATTTTTAAGTTATATGTGATTGAAGACATTTTGAATTATTACATGCCCTTGGAAGTTGGATGTTTCTTTTCGATGGTGGTACTATCATCACTTGCACAATCTACTTTTTCAATTTTTTATATTGCATCTTCCTGTTTGTAGCAATGATATTGTCATTGTTGTGAGGTAAATCACAAACCAAAAATATGGTATGCCACTTTGTTTTGCAGCCCATGATTTGGTACAATCTCAATTTTGTGGTTCTAATTTTACTGTACATAATATTGCATGCATCCATGTATTGCACCTATTCTTATTATGGGTATAATACGAAATCGATTCATGGAGACAGTGGGTAGAAGGGGGCAAAGCTGAGCTGAAAGGTACTTTTTTGATCCTATCGAAGCATCTTGCAATCTTTGTTCCTCCTTCGCACGTCACTGGTGGGGGTGCCACTACGGAGCAATCGAGGGAGAGGATAAGTCACATGCGTATGAAGGGAAATGAGGGGACAGAGTTTCGCGATGGAACTGTCTTGATTCAAACACCAAATGAGTGGACATGTTAGACTTGTTAAACAAATGAGTTGAGATGAACCCAAAAACCTCCTGAAAGCTAATGGCAATGATGCATTTCTCAGTTATTATCAACAGCCCAATGTTAGACCTTGCGACTTAGTGAAAGCAAGGCGGGAAAAAATTTAATTAAGGGTTACAGTGAGAAAGTTAATGTTTGATGTTGTGGTACGTTGATGTAGAATTTTAAAGGTTATTTTTTGGCCTAATAGTATTCGTTTGCATAATTAAGTTTTATTTCTTTTGATATAGGTCACAACTTGATGGAGTCAAGTTTCTCTTTCAATATCTGCCGGCAAAATTATAAAAGTGCTACATGAAAGCTTTTCAAATGACAAGAATACCGCAAGCACAAACGCTCAAGTAGCCCCTTCGTNTTAAAGGTTATTTTTTGGCCTAATAGTATTCGTTTGCATAATTAAGTTTTATTTCTTTTGATATAGGTCACAACTTGATGGAGTCAAGTTTCTCTTTCAATATCTGTCGGCAAAATTATAAAAGTGCTACATGAAAGCTTTTCAAATGACAAGAATACCGCAAGCACAAACGCTCAAGTAGCCCCTTCGTGTTACAAGGGACAATGACATTCTAAGAAGGGTTGGTGAAATTGTTTGGGTTGGTGACAAAGGCCAAAGAGCAGTGTTATTTTTTTTCATTGGGGGGTAGGGTTTATAATCGACTCATTGATTTTGATTATATTTAATATATTGACTTTTGTAGCCTAATGTGACTCAAACCTCACCTCTAATCCTAACTATCTCTTTCTTCCAATCTGTTTCAATGTCTTTCTCCCAAAGTGTATCCTTGTTTGTTAAAATAATTTTCTTTAAGGATGTGTTTGTTTTTCGTTTCTAGCTATGGATGTAAGAGTACAATCATTTGTTATTTCAAGTGAATTTTGTCACTTTGCTCACTTATTTATATTTTGCTTTTCCATACATCTTTCATCATATTCCCAAATTGATTCAATATTGAAGAAAAGAATAACTTATAAACGAAAATAGAAAAAAATAAAATACAAAATGGTTCATGTGCAACGCAGTGTGCACTAATTAGTTAATAAAAAATCGCTTAACCACTGTTGCTGTTTTTTAAAGCAGGCGGGGCCTAACCCTTAGATAACTAAGTTGCTTGTCTAGGGCTCNTAATTTTCTTTAAGGATGTGTTTGTTTTTCGTTTCTAGCTATGGATGTAAGAGTACGATCATTTGTTATTTCAAGTGAATTTTGTCACTTTGCTCACTTATTTATATTTTGCTTTTCCATACATCCTTCATCATATTCCCAAATTGATTCAATATTGAAGAAAAGAATAACTTATAAATGAAAATAGAAAAAAATAAAATACAAAATGGTTCATGTGCAACGCAGTGTACACTAATTAGTTAATAAAAAATCGCTTAACCACTGTTGCTGTTTTTTAAAGCAGGCCCCGCCTAACCCTTAGATAACTAAGTTGCTTGTCTAGGGCTCCAAATTTTAGAGGGCCTCTAAAATATTTATCCTTTTAATATAGTAAGCCTAATTTTTATGTTTTATTTTATATTTTAGATACGATTAAAATTTTTAGGGCCTAAATATGAAATCAGTATCTAATTTTATTAGGTCTAAAATTACTCTTTATTTGGTTTAACCCAAATTTTAGACTTCTCCATAAAATTTACCACTTTAGTATAATAGTCTTTTTATTTTTATTTTTAGTATTTTAGATATGATTCAAATTTTTATGGCTCAAATTTTAATAGTTCAAATCAATATCTAATTTTGTTGGGTTCAAAATTACTCTTTCGTGTGAGTTTTAATTTAAAATTTTTTAAATATTTTGAGCGTGTTCATAGTTGTATTTCACTCACTCACNCAATATCTAATTTTGTTGGGTTCAAAATTACTCTTTCGTGTGAGTTTTAATTTAAATTTTTTTAAATATTTTGAGCGTGTTCATAGTTGTATTTCACTCACTCACTCGCNTCTAATTTTGTTGGGTTCAAAATTACTCTTTCGTGTGAGTTTTAATTTAAAATTTTTTAAATATTTTGAGCGTGTTCATAGTTGTATTTCACTCACTCACATATAAAATTTGTATTCATTATTTCTTGTGGTAAAAATCTATAAAATTAGTTCCTTTTTTGTCTTAATATAAATTTTCAGTCCAAATAATTTATATTTAAATTGTCTATGCTATTAAAATTTTGTACTTTATGCGTGCAAATTACTCATGAGTAAAGAATGATTATTTGTTATCTTAAAATTATTCTTTATTTACATATTATATTATTAAATTACTTGTTAAAAATTTAAATTCATTAAATTTTATTTACAATCAATTAAGAGTAAATGAATTAAGAATATTATCTATTTAAAAAAATTATTGTTAAAACTTGAGTATAAAAACTTGATCAATATTTTAANATTTGTTATCTTAAAATTATTCTTTATTTACATATTATATTATTAAATTACTTGTTAAAAATTTAAATTGATTAAATTTTATTTACAATCAATTAAGAGTAAATGAATTAACAATATTATCTATTAAAAAAAATTATTGTTAAAACTTGATCAATATTTTAAATTTTTTAAAACATAAAAATATAACAATAGATAAAATATTAATAGGATTTCGTATGAAAATTTTGCCTAAGGCGTTGTTAGACTTTGGGCCGCCTTGTTTCAAAGTGAAGTAAATCACTTTTAGATCAAACCATTATATATATATCTGTGACACTCAATTGATGATCTCGTACCAGACCGTTTTGTGAACCCTCAACTAATTGTTCCCAAATCTCACCAGAAGGAAAGAAATAGTGCAGGATGACCGTTGGATGTAAAAAAACCTGTATACCAATTACATGCAAAAATGGCAAATCTGCAATTTCCCTGGATACCACGACCATTTTCAGACCACTACACCGCCTGCTATAAATTCATCCCCAATTGGAATTGGCGGGGTCTAGCACTGTTGTCCGACTCACTGAATCTCACAGAGAGAGAGAGAGAGAGAGAGAGAGCGCGCAATGGGCAACCGACGGTTTTCGCTGGTAGCAACTAGCGACGACGAGGACGACGCACCACCACCACGTCCGTCGTATTCCGCCAACACCGAGGAAGACCAAAGGAATCTCAGGAAACGTAAGAAAATGAAGCTTAACGAAGAAGAAGAAGAAGAGGAGGAAGCACCAAGGACAAAGAAAAATAAAGGCAAAGAAATCGAACAGTCCTTGAGCGGTGATGAAGAAGAGGTTAAGGAAGAGGCTTTGCAGGAGGATGCTAAGCCTATTGGAGAGGTTATTAGGGTTTCTGGAAAAGGTCGCGGGAGGCGAAACCACTTCGGGGTGTTCGAGTACGATGGACTTCAGTATAATCTCGTAAGATACTTTACTTTTGATCTTCGTATACCCATTTTCAATTACAGATTGCTTGTTTGTCTGTGTATGAAATGAGAATGCATGCTTGCTACATTGGATCGACGAAATTAGATTTCGATTCCATTCGTTTGAGGACGAGTTTATGCATTTTTCTTTGGGAATTCAGTTTGAATTAATTTTTTTTTTTTTGAACTAGTACGTTTGTAGGTATTTTAGCTTCAGTTTCTTGCGTGTGTAAGATGAAAATCGTGAAGCAACGGCTGTTTTACTAGTTCTGTTGATGAGCGTCGTATGCATCGTTTAGTTGTTTTGTTTTGGTTCTGAGATATTGTTCAAGTGGTCATAGGGAATCAAGGTTGCGAATTATGCTTGCCTCACTGTATATTTAATTTTAAGTTTGAAAGCAACGTGGCCAAGGGTAAAGATTGAGCTATTGTTCAAGTGTCATCACTCTTTCTGTCATTGTCTTGCATTCTCTACTTGTCTCCTCTATTTCAAAAGCTTCATTTTATTGCCAAATGTTGTGCTGTCATCAGTGATGATAATGATATCTGCACGTGCTTTTTGAGCAACTGATTTTGGTACGAAGGGATCATTGAGTAGTTTGGAGGATTTTATGGTGCGAGTATTTGTTCGGAAATTTTTGAAAGTATTGATTTTGAAGGTATTGAGGGCTTTTAGGTTGTACCACTTCTGCCAATGAGCTTTGCATACATTCTTTGAGATGTTGCTATAGTTTCTTTGATGAGTTGGAGAAATGCAGGGTTTTTATGTTTTCTTGTTTGTTTTTATGGAACTAATAACACATGGTAGGCTATACTTTTAGGAATAGTCCAATGATTTATATTCAAGTGAATGTAAAGGATCTTTTATATTTCTGCATGCTTGAGGATTTAGGTTTCTGTTTTTCTGATGGAATAGTTTAAGGAAGGAGGTTTATATTTCTATTTTCAGTTTGTGATTGAAGTGTCATGTTCCTAGACTAGAAATTAGGGTATGGTTGAAACCCTTGTAACTTGGCCAGTGAAAAACAAGATTGGCTGGTTTTATTTGACTTGTATAATGGCGGTCATGGGCCAATGATATTTTTGAGGTTAGGACTTACCTGGCCTACGGAGCCCATTGTATCTGGTGATCTTCTTGGTTTATAATAATAAATTTCTTTAGGACTTCTTCGTTGATGTTGTATCCTCAGTTCTTTGGTTTATTTTTTTCATTTTTACTCCCTCTGCACCTCCCAGCGCGCTTTGATAGGTTGCAAAGGTAACTTGATCAGCTAACACTTTCATCTTGTAGTCAAATTCTTGAAATAATCAATAATGCATTGAAGGTAGGATCTGACCTTTTTGTTTTGAATTCTTCTCTCATAATATTTAGGTGAATGCATGAGTACACAGGTACAGACACACACCCACTCAGATATGCACACATGCTGTTTCCTATTCAATATTGAGATGTTTGGCTTTAGAAATTGTTTGTCTATGTTTTGTATTATGTATATTTTGTTAGCTTGAAAATTTTGGTTTCCCCTTTCTTACTTGGAATTCATGCATTGAAATAACAGATGACAAGTGATCTAGTTGTTGGTTTTGTTTCTTTGGCTTGCTTATATTGCTTTCCTAATCTTCTTTGGTTGTTTTGCAGGAGGATCCTGTGCTTTTAGTTCCCGAGGAATCAAATCAAAAGCCGTATGTGGCCATAATTAAGGTAACTGCTGAATTGGATATTGTCATACTCTATTGTGTTCTCAGAGATAACTGGGTTCCTCTGTTATGCTGTTTGCATGCCATTTCAGCAAAGAGTTGCAGTCCAACTCCCTTGGAAGGTTCTTTGTCATTTATGCACCTCACAGAGGATATCTAAGCTATGTAACTAGTTTTTTTTTTAAAATTGAAGTTTTTGTATTGCTATCTTTTGAAATATAGTAGGAAGTGGAAGTTTGTAACAAAAATAAGGTCTTTGTAAAATGGCATTTGTCATGCTCGGTCCCTGCAAATGCTTCCTGGTGCAGTTATGGTTTCGGGGAATTTGAGTATGGTTGGCTTTTCGGCCAATTTTTCGATGTAGGATAATTTTCATGCTATTGTCAGACCTGTAGGGGGTCAGACAATTTTGTTGTTCTGCATGTGGCTATACTGATTTTTGTTTTAAGGCATTGTACAGTAAAATATAAGTTTTTCAGTATGTACATGAATTGGATGATTTAATGATTGTTTGCTGTAATTTATATCCTCTTTATTAAAGATTTGAAGTGGGTCTTCAGATCTTTATTTTTTACGGCACATATGAAGATATGGATGTGTTGCACCTCACTTTCAAGAGACATATATCACGACACTGCATGCATGTCCTAAAGTTGCCATGGCCTGAATTTTACTTCTTTTTATCATGTCCATTGTCCGGATACTTTCTCATAATTTATAGGAAGTGAATCATGGGGTTGTCATCGTTTCCATAGGATATCACACAAACCAAAAATGGGAGCATGATGGTTACTGGGCAGTGGTTTTATCGTCCTGAGGAGGCAGAGAAAAGAGGAGGTGGAAATTGGCAGTCACAAGATACAAGGGAACTATTCTATAGTTTCCATCGTGATGAAGTTCCAGCAGAATCTGTGATGCACAAGTGTGTGGTGCACTTTATTCCTTTAAACAAGCAAATTCCAAAACGTAAACAGCATCCTGGTTTTATCGTCCAAAGGGTGTATGACACAGAACAAAGGAGACTTTTTAAGCTGACAGATAAAGATTATGAAGACAACAAACAGCATGAGATTGATGTTCTTGTTCAGAAGACTATATCTCGATTGGGAGAACTAATTGACATCGAGACCGAAGATAACACTGCTGATCAGGAAGATCAGTTGAAAAATAAACGACTGCTTCGGAAAAAGAGCATGCCACCTCTGGATGTTTCAAGGGAGGAAGAAGCCACCAGGTCTGGTCAATCTCTAAAAGCAGAAACACCAGGAAGCTGTACTAGTACGGCTTCTGGATACCACAATATTCTAGCAAACTTCAAGGCCTTAACTGGTGAAATACAGCGTGACAAGTGGTTGGAAAAGCTTCTCCAAGGAGTTGAATTTATTTGCACTTCTACAAATAGCGGGGACAATGAGGGCAAAGAAAAAGGTGGATCTGATGGTACTGACCCTTCTAGGGAGAGTAATGTCTCAAAAGTTGCAAATGGATCTCAAGGCAAGAATCTCAATGTAAGCAGTGAGTTTCTTTATTAGATTTTGAAATGCCTATTAGTGAATGCGAACTAATAATGGAAAATGTGGTTCCTCACAAGTCTGATGGATGACAACGGTTGTTGGAATTGTGAAGTAGAAGATCAAAGATATTTTCTGAGTTGTTTCCTGTCTTGCATTTTACAGGTTGATTTATCTTTTCGATGGCCAGATGCTGCTGTTCCTGCTATAACTGCTCTTGAGAAGGCCTCACATGAGGCTCATTCCGCAGATTTTCTGAAGTATAACCAAAAGATGAGGCAGCTATCTTTCAATCTTAAGGTTAGATTGATACACTGCCCCTTGTGAATGTGTGCTTCAATCTTAATATATAACCTGGGCATTCAATTTGCAGTGCTGGATTCTATGTATTTTGAGGAGTTTTCTCAATTTTCTTTTAAGTTACTTACGAAAATGGAAAATCATAATTTTTGAAGTTCCCTTCACTATTGATTACCTGGCTGCGTACTGGTACTTGTTTGTATTCAGCAGAATGATACTAATCTCCCAGTAGTTGATGCTGTCTTTTCTCTATATATCCCTGTAGTTATGAATGTTGACGTTTCTTCAAAAGCCAAGAAGCTAGTTTGTGTATTGAAGGAAAAAAAAATGCTCATAAACGTTAATAATCCTCTCAAAGCTGACCAAATCAAAGCCAAATAGTGCTTTTTGGCTATTTACGAGGAACATATCCTGCTTCGTTGCTTCAGTCCATGTCGATTGTGTTATTTCCCTCGAGTATTTCCATTAGCAAAGATCATATCGATCTTCCACTTCTTCATTTTTGGACCTACAGTCTTCTTTGTCCATGTCCAAAACGTCCACATCAGTTCTCTTTTAGTTTATCTCCTATTATTACCTATCCGACCATTTTATGGATGTGTTCATTTCTAATTCTATCTTCTCGTATCTTACACACATCCATCTTGACATTCTCGTTTCGGCTACAATCATTCTGTGTACATATTGTCTCATATTGTTTCTTAAATACATATTGTCTCATATTGTTTCCTAAATCTTAATTGGCCAGTGTATGACCATAATACATAACTCACATTATACGTGCCTTAGTTTCAGTCTTTATTGATGGCACAGTATCTGTTGATCACATATTTGTTAGGAACATTTTTTCTTTTGTGCCTATCTACCTCAAGAGTCCTCTCAATTTCTTATGGTCATTTTTATGTTGATTGTGTTTATGCATTTAGTACAAATGATTTTGATCTCCCTTCTCAATTTCTGTGAGATAAACAAATTTGGCAGCCGCTTACTCTTTTTTGTACCATGCTAGTCTTTTTTCTTTCTTTCATTATTCGTTAGATACCTCTTTCTTCTTTCATTCTGTAGCATTCTTTCTACTTTCTCTCAAGATACATTTCTGATGACAATTTGGCATTGTTAAGAGACACAGAACTTCGAAAAATATGGTCTTCAATGAGAAATAAAAGGGTTGGCTTCATTTACACACCAAGAGACCTTTGCTGCACAGCTTTGCTTGGTTGTTAAATGGTTAAATTTGATAAAAAAATTTTTTTGCTGGATTANCAAGAGACCTTTGCTGCACAGCTTTGCTTGGTTGTTAAATGGTTAAATTTGATAAATTTTTTTTTTTGCTGGATCAGAAACTTGGAAGATTTTTTTTTTCTAAAAAATTCTGTTATGAGAGATTATATTGGTTTATGCATGTGAATTTCAGAAAAAGTTCCTGGGCTGTAGTTAATATCTAATTACTGCAAACATCATCACATGTGCACTGAAAGATTTGTCTTTTTCATTTGTGTCTTCTATTTTCATTCTTTATTTCTTGGGCAGAACAATGCAGCATTATCGCGCCGTTTACTAAATGGAGAGCTGGAACCTTCAAAAATACTAAACATGTCACCTACTGAGTTAAAGGTATGATCCCTTTCATTTAGGTTGCAATTTTTTGAATTGATCTCTTCCCTCCCATGCCCAATAAACTATATGTTGTTGCCAAAGCGGTGTTGGCAGTGTGTTTGGGAAAGATTTCACCCTCTTACCTTGTGCAATCAACCCTACAGGTACTTAGCAACCCATTGCATAACTTATCTTTCTCTGTGTAGACACTTGGTTCGAGCCATTGATAAAATTATAGATATGCTAGGGAAAAATATATAAAACAATGTTTACTGCAGCTCTGGTTGTTCTTAATTGATGTAAGAAACACAAATAATGCTCGACTTTGTGGGGTCTTCTTGTGCTGAAAATATGAAAGCCTGCTCAGGGTCAGACATACACATTCTTTGTATGGTAAGCCCAAACATCACATTCGAGTAATTTTGAGACTTTTCTTTCGTGCTTATTTAGTCTTCACTTGACCATTTGTGTTTATAGTTTTTAATTTGGTGAAAACAAAAATGATGGTCCATAAGGAATTGCTTCTCCCCTCTTTCTCACTTGATATGAATCAGATGTGCACAAACCGGAAATGAATCTACCTTCCTGAGCTTTCCGTCCATTCTTGGTCTGCAAGAAATGAGAATTGATTATGTGCTATTGTGGTCTTGATGAGACTTACGAACATTGGGAAAAAGAAAAGAAAACCTATGGTCTTGAAGAGTTGGAAGGAATTAACATCATATTGACCATATGTTTGGATTCGTGGAAATGAAGATATTAATTACCTAAGTAGCTGTTACTGTTGAATTAGATTTAATTGTGATGTGCTAAACTTGAAGAATATGTTCTTATATGTTTTTTTTTGTTTTGGAATCTGCTCGAGCAGAGAAAGCTTTCAACTTACTGATTTATTAATTTGCGTGTAATTCCAGGAAGGTTTGACAGCAGAGGAGATGGCAAGAAAGCAACCTCAGGAGTCTGAGCGGATGCAGGTTCCATTTATATGTCAAATTGTTTTTATTTAAAGATGTGTGGAAGAAACATGGTTGTCACGTCTGAGGACAAACGACATTGGACGTGACAATTACCAGTAAGTGGAAATAAGTGGACAACGTTTAGAAGCTTTTCACCATGTTGGCTGTCAAATACAAGATTGGTTCCTTCTCAAAGATTTGATGGGTCGACACTTGCTTCTTGCTTATTCAAAATCCAGTACTATATATCTTTAAGGGAAGGAGTGCATCGCCTTTTCTTCATTCCTGGAACCTTTTGTTTCTTATTTTTGCCTTCTCACAGGATGCTGTGGCGTTTGTGTAGTTTTGCTCATGGAATATAGTCATAGAGTATTAATAGTGAAGAATAATTGTTATAAAGGATAAATTACAAAACATTAAATCCCTTGGTCTTATGCACAATTGAACCATTTTTTTAAGTGCCCAAACAGAAGCTGGGCAATGTCCACTTGTTGGAGGGTGAAAGTGTTATTAGGACTCCAACTTGAAGAAGGCTTTATTTCAGCACAAAGTGTCCTGCACATCATTATTTTTGTTGTTGGGGGTTCATTGCTAGTGGTGTATACAATTTTTTTTTGTTTGCATTTATTATGCTGTCATCTTATCATTTGACTTGTGAGACAGATGACTGATGCTCGCTGCAAAAGATGCATGGAGAAAAAAGTTGGTCTAATAGACATTATTCAAGCTGGACATGGAAATCGTTATCAGGTATTTGTAGTTTCTTTACTCCTTAGATATCCAACTGTTGAAATAAGTTTTTATGTTAATTATTTTACAATTGGAAAGTGGTGTTAGAATAAGTGTCTAGCCTAGTGGTAGCGAGAGGTAACAATGTCAGTTAACCAGGAAACTTCCGTAGACTAATATGAATCACATGCTTACTATATTCAAGTAACGTGGCTAAAGCTGTAGTGTACTCATTCACGTGGTTGTTTGGATGTCAGTTTTTTTTTTTTTTTGAACTGGGTTTGGGATGTCAGTTAACCAGGGGTTTTCCTCTCAATTCAAAGCTTTCACAGGCTGCTGCCATTTCCAAATGCTCTACTACCTTTCTTGAGGGTAATCATCTTGTGTTTCTCAAGGATGTTTGTGTTTATTTTTTTGGTGGTTGTGGTTGCAGCTGGAATGTATTGCATGTGGGAATACGTGGTATGCATCTAGCGATGCCGCATCTACACTGACAATAGACGGGCCAAATTCTTCGAGGACTGTTGGCACTGCACCATTGGCCACTGCCAAGTTTGAAGATGTTGAGAAGTTGGTCAGTCCACGTGCATCCGATAAGTCAACCAGCGACACTCTGAAGAAAACCACAGAGGCTTACATGCCCGTCTTGGACAACCAGAAATCATTCAACAAATCCAGAACTGGAGACAACCCCGCAACCACTAGTGCTCAGTAGGATCTGCTACGCTGATTCTATAGGTTTTCAGTCGCTAGGTAATCATGGTTCACTCCTACATATAGCTAATTATATCAATATTTGGTGTCACCTTACAGATTTCCATGTAAAATGTTTAACCATCTAGAAGCGATGTCAATAGTTTTTTTTCCCCCTCTTTTCTTATGTAGACTGGAACAGTTATCTTCTTGGGTGATTTGAGAGTTTTGCATTTGCCTATAGGATTGCCAATGGATTAGATCTAGATCTGAATTTTGAATCTGCGATACCAATTAGATTCGGATTTGGATTGTATTGTTGATTATCTGAAATCTTTGTATCTGATCTGATTATAATTTGATTTGACATACTATATAAAAATATATATGAGAAAATTGAGTTTGAATACGGATGTAATTAGCAAACATTAGGCTGTAATTATGTTTCGATCAGATCAAACGTTGGATTTGGTTTTCTGATTTTTAACGTATGTAATATTGATGGCAAAACTATGGTCCTTAGCATATTCTATTTTGGATTGGTGTCTCTTTAAGATTTGAATGGGGCGGAATCAGATTGCTGACCGGCGTACTTGCATAGTTATTATTCGTAGGGAAGATTTGATGTGCTGCTTTCACGACATGTATCTGTCTACTTTCAGAAAGTGTTTTTTTATTTTATTTTATTTTTTGGCAGCACTATTGAGAGGAGGGAGACGAGATGAGAAGAGACGAGACGACGAAGGTCGATTAAGTCACATCGGTGAAAGCCATAGACATTAGATTAATTGCTAATCTTTAAGTTTTAGTAAATTTTCGTATTAAGTCAATATGTAAATGGCGTTTAAGTTTTTTGATAAGATTGATAATTGAGTTGAGTTTGTTGAACTCATTTTTTTAAACGAGTTTAAAAAATTGTTTGAGTTCAGTTCGTTTCGTTTAAAAAATGAATTGAACTTGAAAAATTAAATTATTTTATATATAAAAAAATCAAATTTTACAAGTATGTTTTAAGCTCTTTTTCTAAAGTGTACTTAAAATATTATTTAATTCGAATCACTTCAACACGAACGGAATCCTAAATAATTGGATTTGATGATCCGTTCTATTTCTAAATATCAAAGCTTGTACTTGACATCTAAATCTGGCCTGTCATGTCCCACATAAATTTAAAGAGATGATAATTGATACCCATGTTTGAAAACCCCTTAATTGGTGGTGAAATGAGTTGGTTTCTAACAATTGTTTGTTGAGGACAGTTGCTACCAAAATTTTTTTGAGTCGTAGTGGGTGTCACAGCTTAGCCCTCAAGCATGGCACCAAAATCCTCACAATTTTTTTTTTCTTCTTAATTGCTGAAATTATTATGACTTTTTTTTTTTGCACATTTCGATAAATTCCAACTATTCAACCTTCTTTAGACTCTTCAATCAATTATGAGTCTCGATTAAATTTAAATTTTATAAACTAAATCAATGAAGTTACGTTTTTACTTTATCAATAACTAAACCCAACTTATACGGGTTTTACCTTGAGTTGACCCGTATATGGATGAAGNTTCTTTAGACTCTTCAATCAATTATGAGTCTCGATTAAATTTAAATTTTATAAACTAAATCAATGAAGTTACGTATTTACTTTATCAATAACTAAACCCAACTTAGACGGGTTTTACCTTGAGTTGACCCGTATATGGATGACGATTTATTATGCATTCATCTTCTCAACAAAAACTTGGACCACCTTCATACATCTTTGGACCACTCTGAAATTAGAGATAGCAGCTTAGAATTCAAGGGGTTAGCTGGGGTATTACTCTCATTCATGGAGCTTAAGGTAAATTTTTTAGGAATATTTGGATCAGTTTATGCGTATCTAAATTAATCTTATTCTCAGTTTGATCAAAGACGTATTATTTATATCGGGACAAGAGTATTTCACATGATCTAGCTCAATAAATTGACAAAATTTAAATTTAAAACACCTAAATTTATTGCAAAAAATTCAAAACTGAGGAGATTAAGGTAATTACACGAGGGATCTCAAATCTAGTGTATTTAATATTGAAAATTTTGGGGACTGCATTTATCGTAAGAATCCTTTTCAATATTATATTAATTAATATATTGACAGGAAAAGCCAAGAGAAACCACATCTGCAATTCCCAATAGCATAAGATAATGAACTGTGGCAGTGATTCCCTCCCTATTTAATTCTTGGGATGACTCTTTTTTTGGTTGATCCCCACAAAATACCCCAAATGCCCCTAAATTTAAAGCTTAATAACCCTCTAATTATGGGTATTTTTGTCTTTTCACAAGGTTTGCTATCTTGAGGGTGCCTAAAAATAATGGCATAAAAAAGTAACGTTAAAAAAGAGAGGGCAAACTACAAACACACACAGAGCATAGACCGTAGCAGCAGATGATGAGTCAAAGAAGATGGCTTTTTTTTAGTGGAGTGGGACACTAACAGAGGCTTGGCAGCTCTCTGTNATAGCAGCTTAGAATTCAAGGGGTTAGCTGGGGTATTACTCTCATTCATGGAGCTTAAGGTAAATTTTTTAGGAATATTTGGATCAGTTTATGCGTATCTAAATTAATCTTATTCTCAGTTTGATCAAAGACGTATTATTTATATCGGGACAAGAGTATTTCACATGATCTAGCTCAATAAATTGACAAAATTTAAATTTAAAACACCTAAATTTATTGCAAAAAATTCAAAACTGAGGAGATTAAGGTAATTACACGAGGNATAGCAGCTTAGAATTCAAGGGGTTAGCTGGGGTATTACTCTCATTCATGGAGCTTTAAGGTAAATTTTTTAGGAATATTTGGATCAGTTTATGCGTATCTTAATTAATCTTATTCTCAGTTTGATCAAAGACGTATCATTTATATCGAGACAAGAGTATTTCACATGATCTAGCTCAATAAATTGACAAAATTTAAATTTAAAACACCTAAATTTATTGCAGAAAATTCAAAACTGAGGAGATCAAGGTAATTACACGAGGGAGGGGGGATCTCAAATCTAGTGTATTTAATATTGAAAATTTTGGGGACTGCATTTATCGTAAGAATCCTTTTCAATATTATATTAATTAATATATTGACAGGAAAAGCCAAGAGAAACCACATCTGCAATTCCCAATAGCATAAGATAATGAACTGTGGCAGTGATTCCCTCCCTATTTAATTCTTGGGATGACTCTTTTCTTGGTTGATCCCCACAAAATACCCCAAATGCCCCTAAATTTAAAGCTTAATAACCCTCTAATTATGGGTATTTTTGTCTTTTCACAAGGTTTGCTATCTTGAGGGTGCCTAAAAATAATGGCATAAAAAAGTAACGTTAAAAAAGAGAGGGCAAACTACAAACACACACAGAGCATAGACCGTAGCAGCAGATGATGAGTCAAAGAAGATGGCTTTTTTTTAGTGGAGTGGGACACTAACAGAGGCTTAGCAGCTCTCTGTGTGTCTCGATTTTCATGCTCATGTGAGAGAGAGAGAGCCACTCATTAGTCACCACCATAGTGACCCTCTTTTCTATCTTTGTCTGTGAGGCATGCTCTCTCTCTCTCTCCAACTCTCTTTTTGTGCTTATTATATGCTTTACTGTTGTTGGTCTGGTTCTGTTTGTTTTTCTCTTTTTACCCATCTACCTTTTTTTTTGATTCTTTGAGAATTCTAAGAACCAGTCACAAATGACTGTTTTTAGAGAGGAAGCTATTGGTGTTATCTCTCACTTGTAGTACATATGAGTGTAAAATGGGCATTTTCAGTTGAGTCTTGGAGCTCAAGTGAATGGAATATATTATTACTTCTACTTACAGTTTGTTGGTTCTTTCTTTGGATCCACTTCTCTGAGACCTAGTGGGGTATGTCCATTTTCACAAGCATTTGTCCTTTTATTGGCTTCGAATGCAAGTGTGTATAAAGATGTTCTTTTTAATGATTTTATTTCTTTATTATCTCTCTAAACCAGATTTGGGACTTCATTCAGATTAGTGGATTGTTTAATGGGTCTAGGTTTTTAGTTTAATGGGCTCAAGATTAGTGCTCTTGACGTTTTTCTGATCTCAAGCTGTGGAATCATTAGTAGGGTCTGTGTATTTGCTAGCATTATCTACTCTAAGAATATAAGATCTCTGAACTGATGCTTCAAGTGTATGAGAATTTTAGATACTTTTCTTTGGGTTTATCTTGATTGAAGCCATCTTCTTCTCTAATTTGAGCAAATGGGTATGGCCTTTTTCTGAGTTCAGATGAGATTTGCATCTGAAACATGCATTGTAATTATAATTTGTTAGTTTATCCTTATTCTTTGAGATCCGATTTTATTCTTCACTTGTGAATTTCTAATTGCACTTCTTCTATAAAGTAGCTGAGTACAACATAAATTTTTTTCATTTTTCATTTTTTTTTTTGTTTTAGATTATAAGGGACTGAACCTAGTAAGTTTAGGTGGTATTGTAATTGGCTAGTAATTTGGTGCTTGTGTAATTGCTAGCATTTTGAAATCCCATAAATTTTGCAGCTAAAAGCTTAAAATTAGGGATTATGGAAAAGTATGTACTTAGGGTGTATCTAGTGCAAGTCCTTCAATTAGCAGATTGAGCTCACTACTTAATTTAACTTAAATGAATATCTAGCACATGACCGAAATGAATGGCGAATACGGACTCATATAGCGATCCCAAATGATTGGGACATAAGGTTTGGTTTAACTCACTACTTAATTGTTCCTCTATGAATCTGCAGAAATTCGATTTTTAAGCTTTAGATAGCTAGTGTGTTGCTTGAGTAGATATTCATTGGTTTCCCTTTTCCTTTTTATGTTGTAGATTGGAGATCTATGAAGGGGTGTAGACATGGTGTTGGAATTCGAGAAGTACTGTATAGTTGAAGGAAGTCCTACAACTGTTCTTCCATTTCCTAGGCATTGTTCTAAAATTGAAAAGAGAAACACAAAATTAAGATCCAAATGTGGAAATAATCTATGGAGCCTACATGAGGACTTCACAGAGATTGACTTTCAGCGTTACCGTAGTGCATCCTGTAGAAACATTTCATCTAGGTCAGTAGGGCAAGATGATAATGAACTCCGAAGGCGGGGTTCCGTGTACAGAAGCTCCAACAATGTAAGGAGGATGAAGGAAACAGAAGCTGACGAGGGAAGGAGAAAAATAGAATTGTCACAAAGCAGTGCCACCACTTTCTCCGTTGGAATTGTTGATTCATTGTGTAGTTCAGACGAGGACAGCTCATTCACAGAAAAGAGATCTTCAGTGATGTATCAAAACTCGGATTTAAGTAAATCAGTTCACAAGCCCCATATAGAACCTTGCTTTCAAGGTTTCCTAGATCTCTCCTCGCAGTCTGTTTCAGAAAGAGGTGTCTCGTCAGATGGGTTTCTAGAAATCTCCCTGGACTCAGAAAACAGAGAAAATCGATCTGCTGGAAATGCGGAGACACAACCTATTGAGGATTCCAAGCTGAGATGTGACCCTGGTGCTGGTCCTCTAAATGAAGCTGATGCAAACCAGGTGCGAGGGTCTGCTCTTTCTCTGCACAAGTCACTATCTGCTAAACTGGCACTGCCCCATTCGCCTGCTCGAACATCAGAAAGTGATTGCTCCAAAGCCAGTAGCCCAAAGTCCCGATTCAGCCCTATCAGAAAGATGTTTGATCCATTTGTCAAGTCCAAGTCTCAGAGAAGTCCCTTGGGTTCTGCTATTGAAGCTAGTGAAGTAAGGCCAACCGCGATGGATGGCTTCAGCAGGAGCAAAACATTTCGGAAATCTCTGTTGCACAATTTCTCTAATACATCTCAGAGTACAGAATGTAGTTCTCGGTTTGTCAACACAGAGCAACATAATTCAGTTGTGCCGTGCTCACCAGCTCAGTTACATGGCCTTCTTAAGTTCGAAAATGAACATGGGGTGCCATCTTTTGAGTTCACGGTGAAGTCCTCTCCAGAAGTTTTGGTGGCTAAGACATGGAAGGTGGACAATTCGTTAAATTGGGCATATACTTTTCACTCTGGTCGCAGTAAAAGAAAGAGTAACACTAGTGGATGGGGATTGAAGGATAACAAAAAACAATCCCCCATGGTGGGACAGATGCAAGTTTCCTGTTATTTGTGTACAGAATTAAGAGATGCAGGAGCTTTTGACAACTCTATGGTGACAGAATTTGTGTTGTATGATACTGCACGTGCAGGAAAAAGCATTGCTGTTCAAGATAATACTAACTGTTCCCATGATTTAGCTAAACCTATCAATGTTTTTGATGAAAGATTGTTGGGGGGCACTTGCAAGTTGGATGATGTCTCCCATCAAGCAAAGCTCGAAGGCCAACAAAAACACGCTTCCAACATTGGCCATTCCGATACTTACCTGGACATTGGTCATTCTGATTTGTCAATTCCTCATCATTTGAGGGCAGCAGCATTGCATCCAAACCTTGAAACTGCGGCTATTGTCATACAATCCCCAATCGAGAAAAGAGAAAGCTTGAAATGCAAAGGAGGGGATCGGAAGACTGATCAATCACTTCCAAACTTATTTGATGTCTCTGGGGTCAAGCACATAAAGAAAGGTGGCCCTGATTGCTTGGCAAAGGTGAATGTCGTGATCCCCTTTGGAAGCCATAGTTTGCCGAGTTCTGAAAGTCGTGGGCCTTCACCATTATTAGATCGATGGAGGTTGGGTGGAGGATGTGACTGCGGTGGTTGGGACATGGCGTGCCCCCTCATCGTTCTTGGCAATCCCAATATCCAGAGTGCTGAAGACCATCTGCACAGGGAGACTCAGCAGCCTTTGGTACTTTTTGTTCAGGTAATCTTCTGATCTCATGCAAGATCATATGTTTCATAGCCATATCGTGGTAAAAGAAAATCTTACCATTGAGCATTTCGGGTGATAATTGCTTTTGAAAATACAGAATATCAGAATGCCAGGTCACATGCATGGAGATTTGGATCCTCCTTTGGGTTCCCCACTATAAGTGGTCTATAAATTGCAGCTTGTTTTGGTAATCAATCCAATGCATGTATTTTTATGTACTTATTTTACTCTATATTTAAATAATCAAAATGAAAAAGCAGAAAACAAGATTGCAAACTTTAAGTATTATTTCTGGTCATAGGTAGTGATTCCATTTTAAGTGACAAACTTGGGTTCTCCAATTCCATTGAAGCTTAATATTTTTGTGTTCCTTTCCATCTGATATCTGAATGCCAAACAACGTCTGGAGTTGTCAACCCCACCTCCAGAAAAACCGAAAGAATAATCTAGAAACATATTGAAAGTTTCTATTTGGTCCAGCTCATGATTTGTTATATCTTGCTCCCTCACAAATTNAAGCTTAATATTTTTGTGTTCCTTTCCATCTGATATCTGAATGCCAAACAACGTCTCGAGTTGTCAGCTCATGATTTGTTATATCTTGCTCCCTCCCTCACAAACTNGAAAGAATAATCTAGAAACATATTGAAAGTTTCTATTTGGTCCAGCTCATGATTTGTTATATCTTGCTCCCTCACAAATTGTTGCTTACTCTTTATTGCATCCAGGGAAGTAAAGAGAATACACCAGCATTGACCATAACAGGTATAGAGGACGGACAGTACGCCATTGACTTCCATGCACAGTTAACCACATTACAGGCATTCTCCATTTGTGTTGCTATCCTGCATACAATAGAAGCCTCCAGTGCTGTAGAACAGGACAGAGACAAAAAATTGATGCAATGTGATTCAATGAGAGTGCTTATTGACGAGGAAGTTAAATATCTAATTGAAGCGGTTACAGAGGAGGAGAGCAAGAAAGCCAACAAGAAGATGGAACAAGTCTCGCCATCTTTTGTGCTCAACCCACCATTCTCTCCAATTGCTCGAGTATAGACTTGTGGTTTGCTTAGAAAGGCAGATAGATTATCTTTCAAGAATCCCGGATTGGTTCCAGGGGGGCTGGTTGGCAGTTTTTGCCTCAGGTTTACTTACCAAGATGTCCAAAACATGAAATCTGGCGGTGCCAGATACCCAACCAGTGTGCTTGAACTTGAAGTGAAGGCGACATGGTTATCCAGAGATGTCAAGATTCGATTTCCAGGCGTGCGCTGCTGGTTCCCATCCATTTGATCACTACAGTGAACGTGGCAAAATCCTTGTTTTGATATATTCACTATGTTCTTCTAGTTCATAGATAAAGTTCAAAGAAAACTCCATACTGTTTATATTTTAAGTTGATAGAGAGGGAATAGAAGTAGTCATTCATTTGCTGAGATACTAGTGTTTCTTTCCTATTTACTTTTTGTAATCTAGGATTGATTCTTACAGTGGTAAGGTGAAGTAGCTCCTGGAGATGGTGCCAAAAGCTCCCACTACTGTGCCTGCAGCCAAGATCATCTCTTATCTTTCAACAATAACTGTATCTTTCATGGAAAATGACCTTTATTTCTGCACTTTTGTGATAACTGTGAATGAGGATTGGACTGAGATAGGAAAGAATAAGTTCAATTGTAACAGAGGTGTGGATGTCACATCCATTTTTAAAATGAGTGAGTACAGTTGAGGGTGGTGTGAGAGTTCAAAGAGATGGAAAAAGGGTTAACAATGGGTTTGGTCGCGATCTTGTTATATCCATACTGCATCATATCAAAATTAGCTTAATTCACACAACATCCATTTAGAATTACATATGATCGAGTTTATATTATGTCGGAATCGTATTTAATAGAGTTTGTGTTGTGTATGACTAGATGAGTTTCAATTCATTATTAAGCAGATTTGATGGCCCGAATCGATTATGATCTACTTTGTTACGAATAAACACGTAATCAGTAATAAGTGTAAATTTATGGAGTTGAAATTATGAGTATTCTCATTAAACATCAATTTTAGCATGCAAGTGGTAGAATTTGAGCGAACAAAGGTGAAGAAAAGAATTGTTTCTTAATTTCTTTTTATTGTTAAAAGGGTTGGCTTTTGATGGAAAAAATTACGGAAGAAATGGTTTCATTGTAATAATTTTAATACATTGAAGGTGTAATATATAATATTTAATTTTTGAAGATACAAAGTGAAAAACTTGAATTTTTTAGGGTACAAAGTGAAATTTGCCCTTGTTAAAAAGTAAGAAATGGGCAAAGTTTGGGAAATAAGCAAGAAACAGGCGTACATTAGCAAAAATATAAAAAAACGTATCAGACAAATGAAAAAACAGAGCGCCGTTTGCCGGAGATCGAACCCGGGTCACCCCCGCGTGACAGGTGGGAATACTTACCACTATACTACAACAATGATATTTTTTGCTTGTCTTTTATATTTGTATAAAAAATAACTTGGATAACCTGAAGTCCACCGCAACTAATAAAAGTATTGGTATAATATTTTATATTGAAAAATAATGATTACCCTATTTTATTCATGATTATCATGACCTCTCCTAGAATAATTTTTTTTAGTATAATTTGAATACGTAAATAAGTCACTCCACATATCTGTCAGAGAGTATTGTCCTTTAGCACTGTACAACTATTTGCAGGAGATTTTATCGCACTTATGTCAGAGGCCGAAAAGAAGTTCTCAGTACGTGCTCTAAACTAAACGCTAAAGAGTATATTTTGTCCCCAACAAGCTGTCATAATTGTGAAGATTCAAACCCAAGTATTGAGCAAAGGAATTTAAATTCTTGACTAACCCACATGAATGATAGAATATTAATTAAAGAATAAAAAATGTTCAACTAAACTATAATCCATCCATAATGATTTATGTGGGATTTTTTCGCTTCATATAAATCAAAGGGTGGCTTTAAATTATCTTTGCTCCCTTATATGGTGACCGAAGAAAGCCATAAAAAAATTATGAAAAACAGATATTTGTCTGAGCCCGGGTTCGAACCGGGGACCTCTAGTGTGTGAGACTAGCGTGATAACCAACTACACCACCCAGACTTGCTGGTTGATCGACGCAACTAAATAATTAATCTAGACAGAAGACTCGGTGTTAGGCCGCGACCGAGGAGGCAAGGCAACGAGTGTAATTTACTAGAAGTCACAGTTACAATAATAAAGGAATTAAAAAGCTATTGGCGTCAGCGAAGGATATGAAGTGTCTAGACTAATAATACTACTACTCAACTATAGTTATCGATTATTTATGTGCTAATTGAACTTGCTTCGTAGACAAGGCTCGACATGATGTTGGACGAGTTGTAAAAATTTAAATAAATTATAGATATGACTATTAAGTTATGATTTTTGTATCAATTAAATTTATGAATTATTTTTTGTATTAATTAACTCCTTTAAGTCTCTAATTATGTCAATTGAGCCTTTTAATTTGACTCCATTATATTTTTTAATGGAAGTGACGAAGTGTGTCATGTGAGTTGGAGTAAACTACACATATTATCTTCAAACTATGACATTTGTATCAATTAAACCTCTGATTTTTTTTTTTGTTAATTGAGCCTATAAACTCTTTAATTGTGTTAATTAAACTATTTTGTCTTTTTGTAATATATGGTCACGTGAGTGACATACTCTGCTGGAGGCAAATAAAATGGCTCAATTGAAATAATTAAAGAGTTGAGGGGTCGAGCTTAATTGATACACGATTATAATTTGAAGGTTATGTGGATAGCTTATTTCGAATGGAAAGATCACACAATAGTCAGTTTGTATTTCTCTCTATCCGATGCATGAAATATCACTAATTGACCGTAAATATTTGAAATTTACACAATGATGACGAGTTCAAAAGATATATAGTTGATACGTCGTACGTGAACTAATAGAGATATAGTGAAATTATACTGCGTGTAATTATAAATATTTTAGTTGAAGTGGGGTTCTTAAATATATTTGTAATAACCAGGTGCTACAATAACCCATGCTAAACTCCCAAGAAAGGTTTGAACGGCCTTCAAAAGAAGGGTTCATCCTTATTTTCTTGGGACTTCTTTTGCATTCATGATGAAAGAGAAAAGATGGGCATGCATGTAACCAAATTGGAACCTTCTGGCCTCAACAGGGAATTGGGGTGAACCAAAATAGTTCAATCAGGCCCGCCGACAGGCCGATCGGTCGGAAAGTCTCAATGGAGGAGTCTTCTAAGTTGAAAACACCCATGTCACCACCTGAACGTGAGCTTCCAAAAAGCTTGTTAGGATAAGAATAATCATCTGCAAAATATCCATGGTTCCCTCGTATGGCTGGCACATCCGATTCAGACACCGACAGTGATTGATTCAATCCCAGAAACAAGGCAGATTTATCCAAAGTTTCAACGCCAACCCACTTGCTCATCATAAAATCCAGCCTGTAAAGTTCAAATCCTCTAGTCCTATAATCACAATCGTCGAATTTATGAAGAACTTGAAGCAATTCTCCTCCCGGTTCGACTAAGTACCGTCTTCCAAAAGTTCTCCAATTGACCAATTCAATGACTGTCAAGTTAGGATTGAATTCAAAAGAAAAGAACCACCCTAAAGGGTGCACCAAATAGAACTTTCCATGTTAATATATGGCATCTTCGATATCAGAAGGGCCATCATAACCTAATGGCAATGGCTTACTCAGTACACGAGAGACCCGTTATTGTAGGTTCAGAAGAAGATTAGATGTACGCAGCCTCTAACCTAATTGCAATGCAGAATCTAAACAAGTCCATGAACTGTCACCTAATCTGCAAAAGGCCAATGAACCAAGGTAGAGAAATAAGACCATAGAGAGTGACAATCTCTTAAGTGTACAAGGGCTTGATGATGTTATAGCTTTCTTAATGTACTGATGCAGGTTGGGTTCCATGTGCAATGTGGTGGAAAAGTTGTTAGAGGAGGGAGTGATATTGGACCCCATTGACAGGGTTTAGAACATGCAGGTCGATGTTGGTGACTTGGTGTCCAAAGTTATTAGCCAACCTTGATGTGACCCAAAACATAAGCTTCGATAGGGTACGAATTGTGGTGGTGGCAGCGGCTCACGGTGGTGGAGACGATGGTCGCACTACAACAAATTTGCTTTTTAATCGTAAAAATTATTGTGGTTAAATGTATAAAAATTGTCACTATATACTTTAATGACAACTTTTTTATTGTCACTGGGCCACGGCAATATGTGTGTGGCTAAATCATTTAGCTATGACATTTAATTATTGCCACCAAAAATAAATTTTTTAACCACAATATGAAAAATGTTACTAAATGTGAAATTTTTAACTACAATAATTATTGTAGCAAGTTAACGTGATTTTGTCACTAAAATATACTGTATCACCACTAAAAGTCCGATTAAAACCTAACTTTTAGTTATAACAATTAATTGCAACTAAAAGTATACATTTTACCCACAATTAAAATCACCACTAAAATTTGAAACATGTTTTTAGTGACAACTTATTGTTGCCACTAAAACGTAAAAATGAATAAAAAAAAATTAATAAATTTTTGGAACAAATTATTTTTATGGAATATTTTCTTTTTTTTTTTGGAAAAAAAAATTTTATTGATAAAAGCAAAGATTACAAGCATCAAAAAACAGCTCAACTAATTACATTTGAAGCCCTATTACATTCAAAACTACTATCAGGATGCCTGCAATTCCTCTTCAATACCACAAGTTTCTTCTTCCTCAAAACAGGCAGTGACACCTGATCCTGGTTCAGCACCAATCTCCCAGCCACAGGAAGCAATTCCACATCAGAAAATTTTGTACAACTTGCTACCTGCACAGCGTAGGATGACAAGAAATCTACAAGGGCATTCGCTTCCCTGTATATATGACAGATTGTGGCATTGAGCTCCTTTAAACAGTCCCAAATTTGATCCAAAATGTGCTGGCACCTCCACAACACAGCAACTTTCCCCAATACCATTTGGACTAAGATTTGCGAGTCTGATTCAATAAAAATTTGATGACCCTCCAAATTACGACGCAAAATCAGTTTCATTCCTTTTAATAAAGCCGTACATTCAGCCTGCATATTTGTACTTCTGTCATAAAATGAAGACACAACTACAAGCACATGCCCATTCGAATCCCTGATAACCATTCCTCCACCAGACAGTAACAATTTCCCTGTCGCTGCACCGTCAACATTCAGCTTTATAGCACCAGCAGGAGGGGGTTCCTATTTAACCCACATGGCCTTAGTTATCACAACATGAGCATAACTGATCCGTAAATCAGCTAGTAATTCTTCACAGCAGAGATTACATCTACTTACCAAAGCAGAGATTACATCTACTTACCAAAGCAATACCCAAACTACGAACTCTCAAATGAATGGGCAAAGCCTCCTTGAGAATTTTCCAACCACACAGTCTCGCACTTGGAAAAATCTCTTGCTTCCACGTACACTTTGCAGCCACATTCTGTACGGTGCTGTCTGACCTGAGACCAAGCAGGTTTTACAGAAAACAGGCCAGAACTACTATTTTTCCACACCCTTTTATCATTCTTCTCCGAAACAATCACACCAGACAACAATATTTCAGACTTCAGCTGGTCCCCAAGCAAATAAGCAACTTCATCCAGATGACACTAACCATTTCCCCACAGCTCAGCAACACTAGGAAATGCAGTAGGAGGAACAATAATCAAAAATGATTTCAGCTTAATTTTTGGGATGGAAAATAAAACACAAAGAACAAGTTAGTTCTGCCAGTTCTCATACTGGAAAAGGGAAGTATAGGGAATTCATGTATGCGTTCTTATAATGTTTGACACAAACTTCTTTACTCTTTGTCTCAACATGATCACCAATTTCTGGCTAGTTCCCAATGCCATACATTTCAATCCCCTTAAAAAAAAATTTCATCAAGCACATCAGAAAAGAAAATGATGGAATACAAATTAGATGTCCATTAGTAATACAATCCACAAATCAAGGCACATCAAACATTAAGAACGGATTGAAAAAAATTAAAACACCTCTAGAAGCAACATTTCTTCATCAGCATTCCAGTCTGGACAGAGAAGTGGGAAAGGCAAATTTTCCTGTAGAAATGACAATGTAAGAAACAAGAGCACAGTGAGCCAACAAATAGCCTCAAGTAAGAACCACTATGCTTGCTATATTTCATTCAGTATGAAATCAGGTGAAAATTATTTGAACATAGTTCAATCAAAAAACATAGAGCATAAAAGGAATGATTGAGAGTTTCACGTTGCACTATGACCCAAATAACTGAATAAGATACTAACAAAGTGGAACTCCATTGCAGCTTATGTACCAAAAAATGCCCAGTAAAGCTCAAACTCAACTTCAAATATGCAAGAGCATAGGATGTGAGAAACGCAATAATGCACCAAACAATCATGCACAATCAAGTCACATCTTATGTACACCCACTATCAAACACACAACCATTACCATTCCGATATTTCTTGACCATCTCAAAGAAGAGGTACTTCATTAGGAAAGTCTTCTTTACTTGACCTTAATTTTTCCATTCACTTGAAAATACAAAACAAGTATCAAGTTTCTTCAATAATATTAGAGATGTGGGATTAACTTCAAGTAAAACAAGATAACAGAACAATTTATATACCGGCAAGGTATTAAAAAATTAAAATCTAGATTGTCACATACCATAACCCTATAGGGATGATTGCTCTTATGAGGATTCACCTCAGCACCAACAGAGAAGCACTCGATACAGAGGTCAAAATCATAACATATAGCACATTTGATACAAATTTTCCCGGTTATTTCTTTGTTGCAATAATTGCAGTGGTACAAAGCCCTTTTCCCCTCACTTGTTCCTTGACCTCATTAATCAAAAACCAAACTCATAAGAGAAGACAAACAAATAGAAGTTGATAGGTCAAGCCCAAGAAGAACCCAATTTATTTGAAAAACCCAAACCTCAATTGAAGGACCCAGTCTTATGAAGACCCACTAAGCCCAATATTATCCAAGTCTAATCTCATCAGTTCAGCTACGTCATCAAGAGAGAGAGAGAGAGAGCACGGGACCCTTATCTGCACTACCAAGAAAACAGTCCACCCTCACCTTATCCTTGACCGCATCTCATGGAGAGCATTTCAACCACCTCGTCCGTTGAGAAAAAATCGTAAACTCCACCGAAAATGTTGTTTAGCTGCTGTAAAATAGCCCCAACCTGTTAGGGGACTACTATAAATTGCACGTCCCACCAACACTTGGGGGGCATCACACTTTACCTGAGCACGACTCTCTCCTCTCCCTCAAAACTTGTACTCTCTGCTCCCCACACCCTTGAGTTAATAAAATACCCGACAACCAGAGTCATTGAAGAGTGGACGTAGGTCGAGCTGACCGAACCACTATAAATTGCTTGTGTCTCTCCATCTCCTGCTATTATTTTCTTGCATTTATTATCTACACTTGACAGGTGGTGTGCAAAATTATTTTGTGCATCATCAGTTTGACGCCGTCTGTGAAAAAACGACAAAATTCTCACTCTTAAACATTCCATTTGCTGAACCAATGACGATCACAACCAGATCCATGAACCAACATGAAGACAATCCATCACGAGAGGAGAAGGTTGTTCCTCCACCTACCAATCCTGCTCCAAATGCTCCAACTCCAAATCTACAGCAAATGTTGGAGACCATGCAGTAGCTGATGGCCCAAAACCAGCAGATACTACAACTCATGCTCGCTGGACGAGGAGGAGCACAACTTGGAGGTGCATAGCATGGAGGACACCAAGGAGCTCCGCGCCCTGGACATCAAGGAGCTCCACACCCTGCTGCACCACACTTGAGTGCCCTCCTTGAAGTCCCTTTTGGCGCCCTGCACAGGGGAGCCCATCATGAGGGAGTTCCACCTCCTCCTCCTTCCCATAGTGAGGACCCTCATCTTCAGGAGGATGAAGGCGAGAACTAAAGCATGGAGCATGAGAGTCATTTTCATGATTACTCCAGGGGACCCCCCAACCATTGAGACGAAAAGATTAAGGAAGTGCAAAATTAATTGGGTGACGTCTTTAATATCATGAAGACGTAGGGACCCGAGACAGTAGACTACCTGATAAGGCGTACAGATACGCCCTTCAAGCCTAACGTGGCAAACTATCCCTTCCCTCAAAAGTTTAAAATGCCATCCGTGGAGACCTTTGACGGAACAAAAGATCCACTAGACCACCTCGACACCTACAAGACTCTGATGCAACTGCACAATGTCCCAGATAAAATCATGTGCAGAGCGTTCCCAACCACACTGAAGGGGTCTGCACAACAATGGTTCGCTAAGCTCCCCCAGCCTCCTTCGCCTCCTTTGTTAAGCTGAGTTGAGCAGGTCATTCGTATTGCATTTCATTGGAGGGCGTCACCACCAGAAGCCTGTCACTCATCTACTTAGCATAAAGTAGGACCGAGAAGAGAGCCTGAGGAGTTACCTCACTTATTTTAATGAGGATGTACTCCAAGTTGATGAGCCCAATGAGAAAGTGACGATGACCGCCTTCTTAGGAGGCCTCCGCTCATCAAACTTCCTCTTCTCAGTGATGAAGCATCCACCAAAGAGCATGCCAGAACTGCTAGCAAAGGCCCAAAAATATATGAATGCTGAGGACATCACAAGGGCCAGACGAGGTGAGTCTTCTAGAGTAGCAGGGAAAAAGAGGAAGAAAAAGGAGAGAGAAGACAAGAAGGAGACTAACAACAAACGTGATAGAACAGAGAGGGTTCCTGTGAAAGACCAGCTAGGTCCTACTCCTCAGAGGGACCGACAAGCCTTCACTCCCCTCAATGTCGCTGTCAGGCACTTCTTATTCCAGATCCAGGATGACCTAGCCATAAAGTGGCCAAGGAAGATGAAATCTCCTCCAAATCGCAGAAATTCTAACAAGTATTGTCGTTTTCACTAC